ACGACAAGCGTCGGCGCATACTCCAAATCACTAGAACCCTGAACAACCAAGCCCTAGAACACACAGAGCGCAACCTACAGCGCCTGAAACAACGTCACTTCACCCAGGGAAATAAGGCTAGCAAACTCCTAGCGCAAAGACTCAGGGCCAAACAGGCCTCACAAAAGATCCCCTACCTTGTCTCCCACACAGGACAAAACCTCAATACCCCAAAAGCCATATGTGATGAATTTACGTATTATTACGCACTACTGTACAACTTGAAACTGGACCCCACAACCGATAGAGAAGGACATATAGGCATACCTGAGAAACATACACTTACCACGCCTCACAAGCCACCAACAACAAGATCTCACAAAACCACCCTGGCACCTTACCTGGTCAAAAGCTATATACAGGCCGTTCTGCAAAGAACCCTACCCCCTGAAATGTTAGCGGCGCACATAGTAACACTACCCAAGCCAGGGAAACCACCCACGGTACCACAGAACTTCAGGCCCATATCCCTTCTAAATACCGACTCCAAAATCCTAGCCAAAGTGTATGCAATCCAACTGGGGGCAGACCAAGTGGGCTTCATCAGAGGGAGACAAGGGTCTGACAATATGAGAAAGGTGCTAAACATCTTCCACCATCTCTGCAAAACAGAACACGGGGGCTTACTGGTCTCTCTAGACGTGGAGAAGGCTTTTGATTCCTTACACTGGCAATTCCTTCGCGAAGTGCTACACAAGTTTGATATCCCAGAGGGGTTTGTATCGGCGGTGGAAGCGCTATATAGCTCCCCAGGGGCCCAGGTGCTAGACTCGGGGTTCCTCTCAGAGCCCATACGACTCACGAATGGCACCAGGCAGGGGTGCCCCCCTGTCGCCCCAACTATATGTCTTGGCACTGGAACCCCTGGTGGCAAGGATAAGAGGCAACCCAAACATACATGGAGTCACGATTAACAAAAGGGAATACAGGACAAATCTATTCGCAGATGACATCTTACTAACACTCATGCAACCACAGATCTCCCTCCCCAACTTACTACAAGAAATAACTATATATGGACAACATTCCTACTACAAACTAAACATTACAAAAACACAAGCCATGGGGGTGGGGATTTCGACAGCTGTATTAGAGCTTCTACAGAAAACATTCACATTAGACTGGAGACAAGACCATATAACGTTCTTAGGGATCAAACTTACAAAAAATCCGATAAACTTGTTAGCGGCAAACTATGACCTGCTGTTGAGAAATACGGTGAACACTTTGAAGGGGTGGGAGGGGAAGTTCCTATCGTGGCTGGGCAGGATGGCCGCAGTTAAAATGATAGTGCTGCCAAAATTACAATACTTACTGAGAACCCTACAGATCCATATACAAAAAAGCTACTTAGATAAATTGCAGAAGCTCATAACGGGCTTTATATGGGCTCACCAAAAAACTAGGGTGGCAGCAAAGGTGTTGATCAGGCCACAGGCTCAAGGGGGCCTGGGGTTGCCACACATTAGACTATACTATAAAGCGGCTATCCTGACCACCGTCCTACAGGCCCACGCACAGGAGGAGGTACCGCAGTGGATGGAGATGGAGGCATCTTGGGCGTGCCCCAGAGGCCTGAGCTACTTATTCTGGATACCCCACACACAAAGGAAAATATACCAAGATGTACCGCCCACTACACGGCTTTTATTCACCATATGGGACATTTTCAGACAACGCTGGGGGCAGACCGCAGGGTGGGCACGAGTGACCCCCCTGTACAGCCTACACTTAGTAAACCCCACTTTCGACTACCGCCCATGGACACAACAGGGATGCACCACGATAGGCCATCTATTCGAAAAAGACAAACTGGCCGATTTCACAGTCCTACAGCGCAAATACACCCTACCACATAACACCATCTTTCAATACCTCTAAGTGAAATCCATGATTCAGGGATCTACGACTAACACTGCAACCGCCATGGCAAAGCATATTGAACAGATGTGCACAGCCACAAAACAGCCCAAGAAATTGTTATCCACCCTATACAATAAGTTGATCCAACAGACTACAGGCCCTCCAGACAAGTTCAAACTAGCCTGGCAAACGGACATAGGGAAAATACAAATACAAAAAGAGAAGTCCTGCGCTCACTCCCATCACTACTGGGCCTGCAGCAATGACTACAGTACACATCAGCCCCAATTTATAGTAAAAACCAAAGAAAATAAAAAGTTACCTGCGCTCTCTCCTTAATCCCTATGTATATTTAGACAAATGGAGGTCATTTAGTTGCAGACCCCCCTAAGCGGGTCCTAACACTGACCCTTAAGCCTGCTTCCTTGAGCTTCTGGCTAAGAAAAACTTTCACTGAGCAGCAATGGGGACAAGCATTCTTGGCACACAAAAAGAGGACGAGTTGCGCGTCTCACCTGGAGCAGATGCGCAAACTCCAATACCGCTGGTACATGGTACCCGAGAGGCTGGCAAAAATTTACCCGAACTCCTCCGGCGCATGCTGGAGATGTCGAGGGGAGGTGGGATCGATGTACCACATGTGGTGGAAGCGTCCAATCATAGCTAAATACTGGAGGGAGGTGGAGGACATGGCACTAGGTAGCAAGATCACGATAACACCGGAATGTGGACTCTTGTTCATGGGTTTAGAAAAGCTCAACAGAACAGACTCCCGTTTACTATTTCATATCCTGGTGGCGGCCAATAACCAGATAGCAAGGGCATGGAAATAAGCCCAAGCACCTACAAAAGAGGCTCTGCTTCAGCAAATAACCACGAATCTGGGGTACGAACAGGGATTGAACAGACAAAATCCCTCCAACAAACATGCCACTTTGGCCCACACGAAGTGGGTGACAAAGATGGAGGGGTACAGGGAGTAGGGAGAAAAAAAAAGTTCTTGGGACGAAGCATCCCCCATAGGGAAAAAAAGAACGCCGCATTGGTCAGGAGCAGGTCCACAAATGCAGACAAAGCTAGAAAGGATCACAAAATGTTGGTAACTAGACTAGGAGAATAGGCCACTGAGAGGCCATAGAGACGGTCGATCCAGGTGATAAGAGGGAAAGAAAATAGGTCATAAGGGTGACACTGGTTAGTATGGCAAGGTAACAAGACAAGTAAAAATTAATGCGTCGGATCCCCCCCGCCTCCCCGTTAACTTCCTTACTTTCTTTCTGTACCCCTCCCCCCCCTTCCTGCACTCGAACTACCACTCACCGGAAAGATAAATGTAGCTTAGAGAATACAAAACATGTGAAGACAAGACGAACCCAAACAAAGCGATGTACAAACAAAGCGATGTCAGGATTGTTGTTTCCCCCTCCCCTATCTTTCTTCTGTACCCCCGATAAATCAATAAAAATTGCCAAATTTAAAAAAACTAAACAAAAAAATGAATAATAAATAACCAACAATCTTTAACACTGTTGTCTATCAAGAAATGGGAGAGAGACTTGGAGGTATGCAATCCAATGGAGACATGGTTAGAAGCTTGGACAATGGTTAGGAAAAGTGTACATTCTATAAACCTACAGGAGGTGTTCTTTAAGTTAATAAATCGTTATTAACTTATATGGTCCATTGATGTATTAGTAAATTTAACAAACTAAAGAAAGGGGGAATGCTGGAGATGCTCACACACACAAGGCACAATAATGCACATTTGGTGGAAGTGTGAAAAAATTTAGCAACTAAAATCATCAACAGAAATTGTATTATCAAAATTATTGCAGGGACATTTTAAGCTTGAACCACAAACCTGGCTTTTTCATTTTGATCTCCCTGCAATAAATAAAGCGAATAGTGATGTCCTGAATGGTTCGCCGCAGACTCATCATTGAGTAAACTTTGACCCTGTACCTCACAGTCAGCAGACACATTCCAGCCAATCAGCAGCAGACCCTCCCTCCCAGACCCTCCCACCTCCTGGACAGCATCATTTACCATTGTGAAGCTGCATTCTTAGTGAGCTGTCCAGGAGGTGGGAGGGTCTGGGAGGGAGGGTCTGCTGCTGATTGGCTGGAATGTGTCTGCTGACTGTGAGGTACAGGGTCAAAGTTTACTCAATGATGAGTCCACGGCAAACCGTTCAGCGAACCGTTCGGGACATCACTAAAAGCGAACAAATATTTAGTTATACATATATTATTGGCAGGTAAAATATGTATTGCCGGAGATTGGCTAAAACCTGACCCACTAGCATGGAGTAAAATAACTAGTCAGATCACACACCAAGGCAGAATGGAAAAACTATTTTACAGTTTGAAGGGTAAATTATCTTTATAGAAAGAAACTTGGACCCCTTGGTTTGAGTACATTGAAGAGTTATGAAATCCCCTATTGGAGAGTGCCTTGAATGAAGAACAAACTTGGGTTAGCTGACGATTCCTTGATCATTTAGAGCTAAGTGGTTAAGAAGGAGGAAAGAATAAAATCCGCCACACAAGGAAGTTCTAGATAGATAGATTGTCAAGTAGTAATGTATGGTAGGGATGTGGATTGTAAATTCTTTTTTCCGTCTATTGAAGATAATCCCTATTTTGCAGGTATTAAGTTGAACTATAACTTAAGTAAGGGAGTAACTTGGAAAGGGAAGGGAAGAGAGATAGAAGAGAAGTGAAGGAGAAAATTAGGAAATAGAAAATGTAATTCCATCCAATGAGATTTTAATATTTGTTGTATGTATAACCTTTTGTTTTTGATTAAATAATAAATATTTAAAAAACATAAAAAAGATAACATAAGCAATTTTCTTAATTTTGGTCTTTTAGCTGTGTAGTAAATAGCTCCATAATTTGATACCATTAAATATGTCAATCCCACATAGGGATATTAGTTTTATATAGGGATCTATCTACTAAGCGGCTAAATGATCAAAATAAAGAAAAAAAAACAAGGAAAAAATGTACACATATCAGTGAAAAGAAATGAATGTGGGGGTTAGAATATGAACTGAAATATTTCCTTTTCCACCGGTATTGTAGACAGCAAGATTCCTCTAAATCATCATTGTACATCATTGTACATAAAACCATAACGCTACAATAGAAACATCACAAAATAGTGTAGTATTTAAAAACACCAGATGTTGGATAAGTGGGTTAATACACTCACACAAGTGATTTAGTATTAGGCAAAACACAACATCAAGTTGTAAGGAGTCTTCAGTCACACAGCATACAGTTGCAAAAGTATCGGTTGGATATTAAGAAAGATAAAAAGGTAAATAAAATTAAAAAAAACAACCAGCATTGAAAAACCACCTACGGAGTGAGATGACCACCTCTTTGGAGTTGGAATGATAAGGTCCTGATATATAGGAATCTATCTATTTGTCCTTTAAAATAGATAAATGTTTTTCCAATTTTTTTTTGTTTTTTTTGGAGAAACATCACTTAGGATTGTAGACTATGAAGGTGATTTAAGCTAGGTGTTCGAATAGCCATCTCGCTGAACTCCCATGATTCACAGGCCCTCAATTGCATACAACTCCCAGAATTCCTTGGTTGCAATAAACACCAGTCCACCACTAGTTGCAGAAAAAAGCCTGCCCAATGCCCTGAACTATTTGCCCCTATTGTTTACAGGATTTCGACATCACTGCAAGCTGCACACACACAAGCAAATAACAGCTTAGCCTTATATGACTTCTGTAACAGCCACGGCATATTATGTCATTGCATTTTTTGCTGAATGACTTAGTGACACTTATGAACTTTTTCATTAAATTTAAAGAGCGATGCTGGCCATAGGGAAATCTTTTATGATCCTGTATCAGAGAATCTGCTGTCATTAACTGTATGTACTTCAGCGTATGAAGTCTGGATCTCCAAATACTGGTTCTTTGATTGTCTCACCCATGCAATTCTTGGTTACTAAAGAAAACATTGCAATACGTTGCTTGCATTTACTCATCATATGTCATTGACGGCAACTGAGACTCTCCCAATAATTTTAGTATGATAGCTAGCTTAGTGGACGGCTTTGTGTGCGGTAACTAGCAATTAAATATATGATTCTAATATAAAATGACAGATGGTTAATTATTCTTCAAAGAACAGGTGAGTAATATTTTAGAGATGGGAAGAGGATTGAAAATAAAATAAAATAAAAGGAAACCTCTCTTGTTTGCTCTGGGTCACATTATTTAAAGTTAGAATAACAGAAGCAAAAAGGAGGCACTCATCTCAAGGGGTTAAACCGTTCTTGAACAGTTTAACCCCAAAGTTGCCTCCAGCAGCGATGACCACTCCCCCAGGCAGCATCTGAATTTTTAGATATAGGAAGCGAAGCCAGTTTTGTGAACGGGGAGTCCCTGATTGGCTGAGAGCGTCAGATGACCGCTTTCAGCCAATCAGCAGCAGCATTGCGCAGTTCCTGAATCTGAAAATTCAGCCAGGATGCCACTTTGGGGCAAATGGAGATCACCGCTGAAGGCAGATTTGGGATTAAGCCATTTGAGAATGGTTTACCCCTTGAGGGGCATAATAATAAATTGCATAGAAGATGAAAGTTCCCATTTAAGGGTAATGATATTCAGAGCAGGGATGAAAACACATGACAGCCATAAAATGTATAATCATGCTAACATTTCACCATTTATCTCTCACACCATGCTTAACCCCTTAAGGACCAAACTTCTGGAATAAAAGGGAATCATGACATGTCACACGTCATGTGTCTTTAAGGGGTTAAAGGGATTCTATAGGGTGCCCCCCCGCTCCAGACACTAACCCTATGGCAGCTCCGGTGTCCCTTGACGTTGGGTCGGCCACTCTGCCTTCTAGGACATCATCCGAGGAGGGACGGACGCAAATGTCAGTACAGTGGAGGTGGTTTGACACTTACCTAGAGGACAATAGGGCTCTCGAGGCATTATAACCATCGTCGGCCGTACACTGTCATGATTAAGGTGCATGGAGTGTTCCTTCTCCCCCAGTCAAAAATTTATTTTAGAGCACTTCGATAAAACAGCCAAGGTTTGCAGACAGACAAGTTGCAGAAGCAGAGCACACGTTTTATATACAGCACAGCTCCAGCTCAATCATTTTTCCTGACAGATATTTTACATGACACTTTGGAGCACACCCACTTAATATATATTTTATTTTTTGTTAAATATGAATACACATAACTACATCCAATGCAGGAAAAAAAAAAAAAATAAGATTTAAGTGCTTTTATTCAAGATATAAAAGTCCTTCACATTATGCAAAAGTATATAAAATAATTCCTAACTCTTACAAGCATTTTGTAATGCGGATATGATTCACAGAGTAGTGAAGCGCCTCTTTGTCAAATTACACGCTATAATGTGTGGTTCTCAGATTAATCCACTCGAATAGCTTCTATACCATCCACAATTAAGCCACATGGTAGCCCTTACACAGTGAAAGGCTTATTCTCGGAACTGAGGATTGTTGTGAGCTTAAAGTGAATTTTCAAATTTAAAGTCAAAATTGCTGAACTAAAAGCCTAGCTGACTTGGGTGAATGTTTCCAATTCAGCTACTTTGAATTTCCAACAATATTCACTTTAGTATAGAACCATGTGATGTTGGGAGGAAAAAAAGCTGAAATAAACTCTGACTACCCCATTTTTTTGCACTATTAGGGAAAGAAAAAAGTACTTTCGACGCTCCAGAAGTTGCCGAAAAGATCTCCCCTGATATGGCTGTAAGAGAATTATGAAAGATTAGGTCTACAAATCCAAGAATGCCAAAGGTTGACTACCCTAATGTAGGCAATGTTAGCCAGAAAACCAGACCAGGGTGGTCTAAGGGCCTAATCCCATTGATTATAGAAAGAGGGGAAGTAACAGAAAATGTACCCCACCCTACCTGGTAATAAGTTGTTTTTATCCAAGAATTAATAATCTTTCTATGAATAGTTAAAGAATGTTACAATTATTCTGTCCTTTAAAAGTGGCAATAAAGTATTGTTGTGTGGAAGGAATGTCATAATGTATTGCACAGTGGTGGTGGTACAGCCTCAGGCTTTAATAGTGTGATGCCGACGTGAACCACCAACTGTGATTATGACTTGTCATTGAAATAGTCCACAAGTCCACAATATAGAACAAAGATGGCTAAAGAATAAAAGGGGACTGGGGGGAAGTAGACTCAACTGCCTCTCAGTCTCCTCTATTTATTTTTTGTTATCCTACCCCCTCTGCGCTCATCTCCTGTTGATAGATTTGAAGTCTGAAGCATTGATTTAGGGGGGGAGGGAGAGAGGGAGGATGGGTGGGTCTCCCTCTTGCTATATTGTTAATATGTTATTTATACAGCGTCAACAAATTCCGCAGAGCTTTACAATGGGTGGACGAACAGACATGTAGTTGTAACCAGACAAGTTAGACACAAAGGAACAGAGGGGTTGAGGGCCCTGCTCAATAAGCTTACATGTTAGAGGGAGTGGGGTAAAATGACACAAAAAGGTAAGGGGAGTATTAGACAGTTGCAAGAGAGGAATCAGTCGGGAGCTATTAACAGTTTAATTGATACGCTTTTATGAAGAAGTGGGTTTTTAATGATTTTTTTTGAAGGAGTAGAGACTGGGTGAGCATCAAACGGAGGAGGGAAGCGAGTTCCACAGGAACGGTGCAGCCCTCGAGAAATCTTGAAGGCGAGCATCAAAGGTGGGAGTACGGACAGAAGATAGACGTAAGTCTTCAGCAGATCGTAAGGGCCTAGATGGGACATATTAGAGAGAATAGATAGGTGGGAACAACATTATGTAGAGAATTAAAAGTAAGAACCAGAATTTTAAATTGAGCCCTATATCTTACAGGAAGCCAACGTAGGGACTGACAGAAAGGTGAGGCGTGGGAGGTGCGGGCGGACAGCCGCATATCTCCAAAATGTTTATCCCACCAATATTTACATGTATGACAAATTAATAAAGAAATACATTTTATACAAATTAACATAGGTTTATTGTATTTCTTTATAACAAACGACACAATAAATTGCTGTTTTATGATATGTTTTTATGCAAGCTACCAATCTCACAATTTAGATAAATGGTATGCTACTACATCTACAACATGACAGTAGCTAACAATTGTGCCTACTGCTACAGGATCCCATCGCAGTACGGGTGGTCTACCCGCGATGGCAGACGAGGGAGAGGAGGTCGACCTCCCTGTTGTGGCCACTGCCGGAGCAAGCCGACGCGACCGGGCACCCTGTTACCCCCTGCCGGTGAATGATGTCACGGCAAATACTCGTTGAACCACTGGTGGAGTGGGACCCACCAGGTTGTCCCTGAAACTCTGTGCCCTTATAATAGCGTGTCCTAAGATGGCGGATGAACAGCTTACCTCCAAATCCGGAGGCTTGAGTGGGACAACAGTGGCACGGCTATAAGAAATCTTTTCAAACTTCTGCCGGAAGATATCCAACCGACAAAAGCAGCTGGATGTGAAGAGGCAAGCATGTAAGTGAACCACAACACGCACCTCATGCAACGCCTGACTTCACGGAAGACCTAAACTCACAAGCATCCTAAGCAGAGATCTCGAGCTTCCTGCCCACGTACAGACTCCGGACCAACTGCCTGATACCGCACTTTCAGGCTGAGGGCTTTACCCCGGTGCCAAACACACCCCAAGAGGGGGTATCCTCTACAGGACATGGTATCCAAAGCCAGTGTCTACCCTAGAAGTGGTATGGACTTATCGATCAATAAAGCTGCAGACCGTGGAACAGTGGTGCAAGTTCATACACAAACTGAGGGCTGGGGAAGAGCCCACACCTGGCACGGCTCCACAGCTACTCACCTGGACATTCCTACCCACATGCAGACTATGCCACTTGCAGGGGGAGGTTGATTCTGACACCAAAGAAGCTGCCAAAGAGCTGGATGGCACTACATCTAACCTACCATGCGACTAGTTGAGGCCTGATCTATTCGTAGCTGTCAAACCTCTCTGTTTATGCTGACCTGTTTTTCCTTTTATTTTCTTAACTCATAGCCAACGCCAAAACCAAACAGATACTGAACGCAGTTCCAGTGGTTTAAGCAGGTTCATAATTAGCATGTAAATTGATATACATATACACGCACATAAAAACACACTGACTTACCCTTGCGCTTGGACAAGTCTAAATTTGTATCTTCACTTGCAGAAAAAAAAAAAAAGGTTTTGTCTCTATGCTTTTCCAGCAACTTCAAGGAGGCAATTAGCATAATATTCATGCAAATTGTTGGGTGGCTTGCAGACAAAGGCTGTATCCTCTGAGATACTTTATGGAAATAATGGTTTCTTTGTCATGAGTTTCTACATTTGCCAATTCACAAGATATATATTAATTCGATAATTTGAGTATTCTACCTTTTTAATACCCACATCAAAACATTTTTTGTTGCTCACATAATTTGATCTTTTAGAGTGTAAGGCTCTTCTATTTAATGAAATAAAATGATTGCAATAATGCTTTATTCACCTGTAATCTAGCACCACGACAGACCTTTCTCTGCAGTCCATTCCATCTCCTCTGTGGTAATCAGGCTTGAAAACAGTTTAATTTAATCAAATGCTTCTCACAGAGAGAACCATTTTTCCTCAGTGATTGCCTTGATGCACCAATCCAAAGCTTCTCTATTAGAAGCACCGATTAAACATCCTCATGCAATATCTGTGGACATCAAACGCCAAGAACCGAGTCAGACTTTGTTCTGGAAGCACCATCTAGCGGCTGTCAGCAATTGGAGGTGTGTTTAGTCTGGCGATGTCTCCGAACAGAGAAAATGCAGTGTTTACATTACAGCCCAGTGATAACTTCACTAGCCACTCCTCAGATGGCTGTTAGAGATCCTTCCTGGGTCATGGCTGCCTAAAATGCATCCAAACATTCAGTGTCTCCTCCCTCTGCATGCAGACACTGAACTGTCCTCATAGAGATGCATTGATTCAATTCATCTCTATGAGGAGATGAGATTGGCCAGGAATGTTTGAATTGTGCTGGCTCTGCCTCCCACACAGTCTAAGCCAATCCTATGCAGAAGAATTGTGATTGGCTCAGAACAACACCCCCCCTCCCCCCAATAATTTACTAAGGGGTAAGTGAAACTAAGGAAGCGCTGCACCTTGGGACTGTGTGTGTCAGGTGGTGGGAATATAACCTTAAAGTCCACTTTTTTGTTTACATTCTGTTCTCTAGTGGATTTTTGAGATATCCACTAATGGCGCTGAAGCTACTGGTATCAGATTTGATTTTGTTACAGTGTATATAAGGCGCTTCACAATGTGTATTTGGTTTTCAGAACAACACTTCTGATGATGTCAGCAGGCAGGTCAAAAGGAAACAGAGACAAAGCAAGCATCTCCAAACTTGAATACAAGTAAGATTTTACTATGGTTAGGGAGGCATGAGGGTGCCAGGGGGGCTAGATGGTGGTTTTAACACTATAGGGTCAGGAATACATGTTTATGTTCCCGACCCTATAATGCTCCTGTAACAGCACAACTGATAGCTACTGAACAGTCTTAAAGGTATTTCCTCATTCCGATGCTGGCTGCCATTTTTTGGTTTTGACTTCTCCTTCCCTACCAGATATACACCTCTTTCCCATCAAATTTTAAGTTATACACACCGATCCTGCTGTTCATTCTAAAGGCGGCCATAAACCAGTTTGAAAGCCCCTTTTAATGCTAAAATAGCAGTCAGTTGTCTCATGTACCAACAAGCTGTGAACACTGTATAATTATTTGAATTTTATATTAAAAAAAAAAAAAATAAATCATCATCCAGACATAGTTTAAAAATCTGCACTGAATATATGAGAAAACATATTTAGGCAGAAAAATCCCAAAACTTTAAACCCTTTATAATAGGTCACAGGTAAAATTTATTTTTTTCTACTCTAAATGGCCTCTTGTATTTCATAAAATGCTATTTAGAAACAAGTTAAACATGAGCTGTTTACACATACATATTATATACAGAGGTAGTACGATGTTTCATCTTCTCTAAAACACCTCCCCTCCATGTAAACAAGTTTAGGTTTTCTACCCTTTCTTCTTAACGAAAAACTTTCCATTTCTGTTATAAAGTGTTGTAGCCTACCTTTTATCTCTTCTAGGTCATGAACATGGTAGCAGTTTGCCTACATTCCAGAGACATAGAAACACTTACCCGTTTGGTGACCGTACCACATTTATTTTTGTGGGGCATTCCACACATTTTCAAAAAGTTAATTAAAATAATTTGCTCTCCTAGGCCCCAGGGTGTTGCACACTTCTTTTTATAAAAGTATTGTATTTATGCCACCTTGAAAATAGAAATACTTGTTTATCTCTAGCTATATTTATGGTCCATTTGTTCACAAATGGTCATTTTAAGCACCATAACCACTACAGCATTCTATAGTAGTAATGGTATCAACAGCCCCTGTCACTTTCCCCCAGGTTTAGTTTTTTCTGATATATCTAAAGTGGTGGAAGTTTCTTTTCTGCAATAGAATTCGGTCCCTAGTTAGACAGTATTCATTGGCTCAAAGAGTGCCAGCTGATTAACTCCGCAAATGAAGTCCATTAAAACACAGGAAGAATTAATGTCACCATTGCAGAAGTAGGAACTTCCGCATTATCGTTATCAGGAAGTGAAGGTCGAACTTGAGTACTCCTGGTAATTGTCAATATATATGATGCTTACACTGGCTCCAAGATATCTTTGCTACAGGGGTTTTACACACCAGTTATGTGTCATACTCAAATTCACACTCGTAGGTAGAGAATATCTTATCCAAGGAAGAGCAGGCTCTGATATGAGAATATTTGTCCTTGAAACTTGTCTGCAATATAGTCAGACTGTTTATTTTCCTTAAATCTGCCAACAGTATACATTTGCATGAAATCGTGCTTCTTTAGGGTATGGCTTAGAATATACTTAAAGACTTACCCTGTTTTCGTTCCCTGTTTTTCATGACAACCCTGCATTTGTCTACTATTTTCAATAATTTTGTATTCATTTAAACTATGGATGACCAGTGACATATCAACAGCACCACATTCCAATTTGGAATAAGATAGCAAGATATGGCAATTATTGGCCCTTAACGGAAAAATAAACTACTCCAAAACACCTCAGACTAAGCAAATTCCTTTGTGTTATTTGGATTCTTTCAACACTTTTCCCTCATACTTGATTGCTTCTTACAAATTGTTTGGTTTTTCATTCTGATCAATATCCTCTTCTCTTTCACATAATATGTAGTTTTAAACATGCCTGTGTAATTTGATATCTTCTGTTAGTGGTCCTACCATTCAAGAAGTGTTAATATAAATTTTTCTTTTTTCAATAACCAGGTACACCACAGACTGTATGTACGGTCATACATCTGTGCCATCATAATTATTTGATAACAATAAATACTCAAACACATGAGAAGAAAGTGATTGAGGAATCCTTTACAATTTTAATGAGCTTGACGATTGAAAAGTTTCATATACAAACTCAATAGCTGATTAACATTTGATTGTTCCACAAAAAAAAAGAAAAAAAAATATGTACAGTCAGTTTCTATATAGTGAAAAAGTTTTCCACACTCAGCATGGGTTACTGAAATATATACATAGTCCCATGCAACATACATTTTGCCTGCAACACAATGCAAATGACAATGGCTAAAACAGGCATTTCACATTATATTCCTTGAACATGTCACTATTAACTGCATCTATCAATGCCATCTTCCGGTCTGTAGAACGTGTCAATAGGGAGCTTGAAGGCAACATTTTGCTTACATTTCACAACAATGGATCACCAAGCCCACTTTAAGGGTTTGCACATTTTTTAGATAAAATATACCTTTATTTTGGAATTTAACAAACTCAATTTTCAAAGACCAACTCCTTGGTGGGATGACAGTCGATGAAAGATCAATATGGCTGTTCAGATGTTTGTAACCTCCAATTCACATATGTTGTATCATCAAGTCTTATACTTCTAAAGGGTCTACAATTTAAACCAGTTTCTTTGCTCATCTGTACAGACAACAAATCATATGGAGACATTTCATTCAAAGCCATATCTTTGGCATAGTAGAGTAAGTATTCACTTTTGAAATGTATGGTCTCACTGGGCTTACATTAAATGGCGTTAAGCATTTTAAATAATTCGCTTTTTTGCAATATTAGAGGTATGAGTTCACAATTTTTCCTCTGAACATGTATAGTGAGAAATGTCTTTGCTTAAGCGGTCATTACATTACATCCAGCTGGGAAAGGCAGACCAAACATTAACTGGGCCAAAATAGAGGCTTCCAAGTGAGTCAAGAATTTGTAAAAATTGTACTTACTATTACCAGGGGGAGAAGCAGGAGTAATATTTTGCCTTTAGATTGCTTTTCCATCAGTAGACATGTAATTTTGACAAATAAAAGAAATGTTGCCCACCCCCCCCCACCAAAAAAAACAGACTTTGCCTACTTTAATATTCTCCAGGAAGTTACAGATGTTGGATCAACTAGCGTTAGAAATGATGAAAGCTCATTCGCCATTTTGTTTGCTCTGGACAGTAACATGAATGCAAAAGAGGAGCAAATTACAGCTGAACAACCTTGTATGATGGAATGATGGGAGTTCACATCAGCAAAACCAAACATGCATTACATGGGAGTGATCTGCATGGTGTTGCTTATAAAGACTGTTCTCATTAGAGAGAGTACGTGCTCAGATTGCATAGAGGTTTTGTATTTGCACAGTTATTGATGTGTAAGATTGTGGCATAAAACAGCCAAAACGGCAAAGCTTGGGTGGTCTATATCCCAACCGATGCTGTCCAAAATATTACACAGCAATGCATATAGGCCACCAGCTGTTAAGATGATAGACTACAGCAATACTGTACATGTTTTTTTTTTATATAAACCTTTTTTTCCGAACATGTTTAATGAGTTACAAAAAAATCATGCAATACAACCCCTAAAACATTGCCACAAGCTTACTTCTTTGCTTATCTCACAAACAAAAGCTTTCATTTAAACAAAACACAGACTAGTCATTTTATAAAATACTCAACTGGTTGTCAGATGTGATTGAACAGAACTGCAACCATAACGGAGACTGCCGTATACAGATAGAGATCAACTCTGCAGGTGCCTCTTCAATGTAATGGCCTGGTTAGTGCTACTGTTTGTGAAATGGTTACATAAAATGCATTTACAAGGGAAATAAAATAGGTTAATATATAGTAATCATTTACAGGGGTGAACAAAATCAAAAACACCACAAATAGAGTAACTGAATAGTGAAAGCACAAGTACGTACGCAGCTGCGAAGGAGAATCATAATGGGCTGATAGACTAGAAGTATATAATTTTGTTTTAAAGGAGACAAGTGTCACTTTAGAACACTGTCAGTTGCCTTATTTTGCATTGAAAACACGTCAGGGCAAATGGTCTGTGCCCAAACTATAGGTGCAGCAAAATGTTTAAAAATTGTGTGGGAGGGGATCTCTTAATGATGAATGCGTTTACCACATATGGACAAAGTGTGTGTGTAGTCTAGATAATTACTAAATGTCCCAAATGTATAGTTGTAAAGAAGCAGTGAACAGTTTCCATACAAAGTGTTAAAAGCAAATTATTAATATTTTTTTTTTCCTCAGCCGATTTTCTACTTTTAGGCAGTACATTTTAACATTGGAGAAATTCCTTTTATTTTTTTTCAGGGTTACATGGCATACATCGTGACAGTAATCTTGTGTTCACGCTGTCTCATCATTACTTTTCATGGTAGAATAAAAAGATGAACAGGAATCCATTTCACAGGACCAAGTATGGGTACTCTGCATGGGCGTCAGGTATTCCAAGCTAACACGCCCATTCACATTGCTAAACACATTCAAGAGTGGTTTTAGGAACATCTAAATTACTGTGTAAGCTGATGTATAAAATCTTGAATATATCTATTAAATTGAAATTTTTACTTGCATGGTTAATGGCACTCACAATTTGTGTGTGGCTGTTTTTATGAACACCAGGATGAAGCAAAAAACACCTTCTGTAACCTCCACAATTATCAGATTTAATCATTATCAACCTTTAAGAGCTTTAAATATGGGGCAGTATCCCAGTGCATACTGCACAGCACTTGTGTTACAGGACTAGCTGTTCTGTGATTCTTAACTTTCATATATTTCAGGGTGTTTGTTATTTAGTCCACGCTCTGCATAGATAACCACATTTTAAAGCCATCACCTGTTTCACGTTTCAAAATAATTTAAAAGAATTTGGATGAGGGCACAAAAACCCTCGAGTGAAAAAAAATATCAAAAACACCAGCAGATGCATTTCATTTAACTGCAAAGTATGAGACGGCAGCAAGACATCTTATTTCTGGGTTTAATACATGGGTATGCTATGTACTTAAAGAGGAACCGTCAACATTTTGCTCATGAAAGTTCCTTTCTTGTATACCCCAATGTTTATAGCAGTATTTGCAGGTATGGAACATTTATCCTGATAGTGGGCACTGCCATCAAATGCACAGGTAGGCATTAAAATGAAATAAACTATACTCTTTATGTGCATGCACATGTGCGAAAAGGGCATGAACCACGATCACAAAATCAGGTAGGTTTCTACAGAACAAGGCTCTACAAACTGGGTAGAGTAATCATATGCCTATGATTTATCATGTACCCATAAATGAGATTGTATATACCAAGCCTTTAGTGCCTTTTACACAAAGCTCTAATCTGTACTTTGCATAAAGGTGGCCAATATCAGCTCCAGTTCCCTTGTCAAGAGACAAAGGTGAGTTTTATGTACCACTGTTGAAAACCAAACCACAGCAAACACTGCACCAGGGGAAGGGGAAATTGCTATAATAATAAAAAAAAAAAACAAGAAAAAAACAAAAAAAAAAAAACACAAAAATGACAAGACCAAAAAAAAGAAGAAAGAAAAAAAAAGGAACTTGCACACAATTCATGACCATTCCTCTTTAACAGATACTCGTTGGGGCACGCATATGCTAATACTACCAATATATGCAAAAATTCAGATTATGAAGGAGGTACGAAACGATATTTGTTCCACCCCATTAAAAGCATAATACTGGGTTTATGTCTCTTTAATGACACCTGCACTCCTTAAAACACTGGTAGTATACGCATTATTGCACCAAGAAATATAAATTCCAAAAGTGTCAATAAAATTATATGAAGGCGAACTATAAAATATGCATGGTACAAATATTACTCAGGGATTAAAGGCAATCATATGGCACAGGTATAATGAACTAATAACAATTGTGGCACTATCCTTAAACAACAATAAAAAAAAAAAAAAAAAGTGTGTTACAGCACTCACAATCCATTTAATTTATAGCAGCATTTTACACAATTTGTGTTAAAAAAGTAGAAGAAAAAGATTTGTGTTGAGTAACAAAATGTTTAAATTACAACGACCATCCTTTGTGCACTTACTGTTAATTTTACTGGTTTGATTATTTACAAAAAATGCATTTTTTACATGGAATAGAATGTTAATGTTGGAAGCAAAATTACAATTTATCTACAGATATGAAACAGCCAGGGTGACCCAAGTTCAGGATGTGAGGTTTTCTTAAGTGGCTTTTTTTTTTGCAAAGGTTTCTCTCAAAGATTTGGTTGATTATCAGACTCCAGGGATTTGAGAGATGCCCTGAAAACCAAATATAAACCCTCAAAATGCATATGCAACAAAAGAAAACCTCACTAGAAATATATACGTTGTATTTATAGAGATGTTTTACATGATGAATCATAACCTGAGCTTAACTGCTTGCTGCCTTTGAGGAGGCACAAAATCATTTTATCCACTTGGCTACAAAAAGGTGCCTTAAAAAACACCACTAATTTTCTTGTAGCAAAGGGGTTAAAAGAAAGGAGCTAAAAGGAGCTGTTAATAGATTTTCCCATCAGAGATGTTGCCATAATGCAGACTACCGCAATGCGTTTCCCTTGACTGCCAGGCTATCAACACAAAAGTCTAGCGTTTTTTGTTACTGGCAATCAAGAAAGGGGAAAGGGCATTATTTCATACAATGTTGTGCACCTGAAAATGTATTGGTTGCATCGATATGCAAGTACCTTGGAGAATAGATATTAGAAAGGTAGCTACACTTACTGTGAAACTTGTGCAATATTATAGCCTTACAATTAGAACAAATTATACTCCAGTTTTATTGGCTTAAGCACTCACTTGATGTTTGCCCTTGCAAAGAGAAGCTAAAAAAAAGTTAAGCAGTAACATTTAGACAGGCTGATAATGTAGTTTACTGCATTATTTCATGGCCAATCAACAAAGGAAAGAACATAGAGATCGATCATTAGCTGAATACAATCAGGTTTAACAGTGTATGAATTACAAACTGCGGTGACAGCTTTAAACAGCTGCATACGGCTTCCAGTCAGTGATTGAAATAACTACGAGGTGGACATCACTTGTAGGGCATCTCATCCTGTACATAGAATGGCACCATATTATAAAGAGAAAGTTTACTTTCTATTAATCCATATGAAGTCTGCTACAATTCAACTGAGCTGCTATTTGCAGTTCAAACAACTGTACATTGTATTTCCTCCAATGACACAGACATCGTAATATTGGATTCAGGGAATAAGCAGAAACTAGTATTTATACAGTAAAAAAAAAAAAAAAAAAATATAGGAATATCCACATAAAAAAAGATTTACTTTACAGAATAGGTCTTCAGTGAAGATATCTACGGCAGGGAACAGCCATGAATGTAGTGTGGACTTTCCAGTACCGAGATTGGTAAAGACCACACGTTTTACAATCCAGCTGCATTCCCTCTGCAACACTACTCTCAAGGAAAAAAAAACCTTTAATGCATGGCATAAAAAGGCCCAACTTACATCCACAAATGGTTCAAGTCCTCCTAGTGAAACAGAGCAGTTGTGAAGGTGTTTAAACACAAAAAAAACCAACCTCAAAACATTCTTTTGTTAGCAACTGAATGAATGGATATGAGATGGACAAAAAGGTGGCTATTAAAGGCATCAGAAAAAAAAAATCCCCATGGCTTTGGTTTGATGAAATACTATTTTACAGTGATAAAAACAAACTTGTGAAATTGTTGAAGAAAAAAAAATAAAAAAATTAGAAAGCAAAACAGAACATTTTGCTCAAGAATCCAGGACTAATCATAAGGATGTCTGCTCAAAAAAACAAAGGCCATTCTCCCTAATGAGTGCGAACCAGAGGCTATGCCATGATATACAGTTTATCTCACAGTTGATGGGAGCCCAGAAGTCTGTGCAGAAGTAACATACAGAGCAGTGCTGTCTGATAAAGGGGCAACCACTGAATTTCCATTTGTTGGGGAGCACCCCAATTTCAATTTTTCCAAGTATTCTGCATGTACTGGCTTGTGGCACTGGAGGACCTTGAGGGCATCTTCAACTTTGAACCACTCTCTTTTCCTTCCTGAACAAAATAAAGATAAATATGTCAGTCAGATTATTTGTGATGTAGATGCCACCTGCAACACTAGTATTATGTGACCTAAAAGTATACACATAAGGCATCTAGTACACTACATATAATAAAATATCTTGATATACTAAGTCTAGCTACTCACACTGACAAAAAAACCTCTCAGAATGGCTTTGAATATTTTCTTTAACATTTTGTATCTGACCTACTGCATCGGAATAGTCACTTTTTACAGGACTGAGCATTGCAGGTGCATGGCTAAGTAAATTTAAACACAGATTTCTAGTTGTCTACAAACTATTAATAAAATAATTATGGTCACACCAATCCCTCCAGAGGAACATAATTCTACTTCTCTTAAGAAAATGAAAAATCAACATCTGCAAACATTAAGCAATATCCAGCAATTAAAGCACTTTAGTTTACATACAAACATAATTACCTTAAGAAACATTCTAATGCTAGGAATACATGGTTTGACTCTTAATATTAGAGTTATTTTATAAAAATGTACATGCAGGACCCCCTCCAGGAATTCCTAAAATACCTCAAGATTACCGGAAATATACAACAGCTAATATTTTAGGAATGATAATTACTTATTTGACTTCTAGGCTTTGCCCAACTGTACCCAATAAATATGCAAATCGCACAAAAATGCAGATTTACTGTCCTCAATTTACTTCTACCTAGGTGTGTTACTGGGGAACCTGACGGGTTGGACCCTTGACTGAAATGTCCCAGGTTTACTTTTGACACCATCTCATTGCTAACGCTTCTTCACATGCAATATGGACAGCGAAATGAAACCTCTCAATTATATAATTTGGGACAGTGTCACTTTAATGTACAATATTTGAACTTAACTATACAGATCACTGCTGTGGATGCAGAAGTTTAATACATTGGGATAAAAGGTTAATACAGCATGGCTTTGACTAAGTACAGCAGATATGGAGTTTATAAATACCGGTATACATTCATGTAATATTCTGAATTCAAAGGTTTGGCGTCACAATGTTATTTATAGAATAGGTTAGGGTTGATCTTCTGAGACAGTATATTCATAGTAGGAAGGGATTAAGCCATTATTTGAGGAAGGAGTCATAAAATGTACCCTTGGGCTGAATCCCTGATCTATTGACACCTGAAACACCCCTCTATCTACCTCTGAGGCTATTATGATTACAAGAGGAGTTAAAATTCTGTGAAAAAATAAGGATTTAGGATTAATGGTTACAATGCTTCACATTTTAATGATTGTATTTGAAACACTGAATACTACTAAATGAATGGCAAAAGGGTAATCGTCGTACCAATATTCACAGAATCTTCCCAATCTTCCAGTACTTCTGTCACTGTGAGAACATAAACATACGTTCTATGCTTCCTATCTTGGTTCTGCTTAAAAAGAAGAAAATAAATCAGTTAAACACTTTGAATTATTTTTAATTTTAATGTAAATGCAATTTCTATGACTTAACATACGTTCTGTAATGAATTTGCCCAGCGGAAAGCAGTCATCTATTTTAGATTCTAAGGGCTTGAAAATCATTAGCATGCAAACATAATATTGGAATTCGCACTAGGTTGCATGCTTGTAGATAAGGCAAACTAGAGGGCCATCCTGTTTTTCTTTTACTACATCTGACTTGCACACTGGAAAGATCTCTCTTAACACACATCATTGACTTATTGCTCTAATTATCTAATTTTTAGCATAAATGCTGTTTGAGACAAAGTGCTGCACATACCTAGGAACATCTTTTAGCGATACAAATTTTAGGCTCCCTTGTTACTCACAAAATAAAACATTTGAGATCCAGACTATATCTAATTCCTTCTTGTGTGTTGTAGAACAGTGCCAAAGAGAAATCAAATGTCGGCATATTTCACAGATTAAGCAGTAATTTATTATTTAAGTAAAACAATTACTCACCTCGAATATTCCCAGAAGTCTTCCTAACTTCCCCTTTACCCCAGCCTAAAAAGAAATTTTAAACATACAATTAGTATAAGGAACGGTGCAATTAAGAAAAGACTGAAATATACACAAGACTGCTTAATTATTTATTTTTTAAATCCTTACATAGACATACAGCAAACAGACTCAGTATTGTTTTGCACCTTATTTTTTCCTATCCAAAAGGTAAAAGGGTAATCCAGCTGTGGATGCCCCTGCTCACTGTGTACAGAGGGGTATATTGGCTACAAAGATGAGGGTTAACAAAGCTGAAATTTTTGTCTGGTGTAGCTGTATCTCAAGTGCACAATGAGACGGCCTGCATTTTGGATTTGTACCACCCTTATAAGGGTAATCAGTCAGATATGCAAGTAATGGCAGAAGATGAGCTAAAACCAGCTTGAGCATTAACTAAGTGGAGATCCAAGCTATTCGTGCTGTCATCTGTTCTCCATATTCTCTTACACCTCTCTTGCTCGGCTAAAGTAGAAGATAAAACAATTGCAGCCCCACAAAATTGTATTGCGAAAACCATTACTGGGGACTACCTGTTGGAGAGGTCTACCAGGCATTTTGAAATAGGTTCTCTCCAGTATGAAGAAAGAACTTATATAGGATATGACTCTAAATATTATTTGTAAATAGATCCTCAATTTTTCTTACTAGAGATGATAAACTCACCACAGTAATTACAGGTATTGTCATCACGTTTTCAACATGAGAGCCCAATGAACAGTACGCCAATCATTGCTAGCATGCCACAAACTAGACCTGTGCACATTTAACACGGAGTTGTGCATTATGAAAGTGAACTGCTGTATGTATGAAAATATCCATATCTCTTCATCATGAAGCAGTCACACTGTATATTACACTCTACTGTAAGATTTTCCAGAAAGGTTAAGTATGCACACAAGTTTGTAAGGAAAATGAAAGCTAAAGTTAAAAAAACAGAGCAATAAGCAGTAGTATAACACTGGATTCCATGACGATTGTTAGACTTTTATAGAAATTTCTCCCACTATTACTTTATGATTAACCCTAACACTCAAAGAAATATTATGAATTAGATGCAGGCTCTATAAAGATTGTTAAACAAGGAACATTCATGTCAGAGCACAGTATGAAAGATACTCTAGGGTTTATTTTGCACTTGCAGTGACAAATATTAAAGCAGCTCAGTCATCGTGTGGGGTCTTGGCAAAATATGCAATGACCCCTGATGGTGATTTTGCCCCCTGGCAGGGAAAGTTAGTTTTTCTGAACCTATCCCTTGTGGCATTCATCATCATCTTTTTCAAGGCGGAGTCTCAGGCTAGGACTGCATAAACAAAGTGATTTAACTCCATAATGGCAGAGAATTGAGAAGTATGACTGCAAAGGGATGATCTATACACCAACAACACCTTAAAGCGGCACGGTCATGCCGAACTTACCTTTTCCCCAATCGATTCCTCTTCTCTACCTCTGTCAGGATCTGTTCTTCAAGTCTGTCTTATGTTTTAAAGACAACTTGAGCAAAGTAGGGACTACTTTGTCTTATGGAGGTTTCCTACGCCTGACCAGCGGAGGAGCAAAGTGTGCTTCATTTCCGGTGGTCAGAGCAATTTTGCCACAATTCTCACCTTTGATCCGTGATCTCGCGATGCTTCCTGTCAGTATTCCCGAACGTCCTGTCACTTAGACAGAAGGCCAGCGAAACGACCTCATTCTGTTAGTACGCAATTCGAACAGTTCGTGTTAAAACGCAATTCGGGACTTTGTTCGGGCCGGCATTTAATTCGAATGAATGAAACTCTGAGCCTATTTGTATCAGGGAGCTATCTACCAAAAGGCTGAAAGACCACAACTTTACGAATACTAAGTAAAGATTACTTAGTTTTAGTAAATTCAGCCCTTACTCGCTATGCTGAGAGTAGGGGCATGTCTATTCAGTGAGCAGCCTGTTGTTGCTCACTGTAAAAAAAATAATTAAACCCCCACCCCCTCAATAAAAGGGGGGGTGGAGTGACTAGGGGCCTTCTAGTCACCTGGGGGGGGGGTTAACATTTACATTTCGGGCCCCCACCCGCCGCTCAGGGGTGGGGGCCGGTGGCGGAAGGACAATAGGTCCTCATTATTTAGTGCCTCCACCCGCCGCTCAGGGGTGGGGGCCGCTAGGGAGGACAATCATGGGGCCATTAATTGAGGCTGCTCACTGTTTAATAGACATGCCCCTATTCGCGTCATAGTGAGTAGGGGCAGAATTTACTAATACTAAGTAATCTTTACTTCGCATTCGTAAATTTGGCTGAAAGACCAATCTTGGTCTTTCAGCCTTTAGGTAGATAGCTCCCTGAGTAGCTGCAGTAGTGGCACAAATAGGATCGGAGTTTCATTCATTCATTCATTGTGTCCCAACATGAATGAACAAACTATTCTCATTCTGTTAGTTCGGTAGTTCCGCCGGCCTTCTGTCTAAGTGACAGGACGTTTGAGAATACTGACAGGAAGCATCGCAAGATCACGGATCAAAGGTGAGAATTGTGGGAAAATTGCTCTGAGCACAGGAAATGAAGCACACTTTGCTCCTCTGCTGGTCAGGCAAGTAGTCCCTACTTTGTCTTATGTTTTAAAGAAAACTAGAGCAGACCGGAAGAAATGAACAGATCCTGACAGAGGTAGAGAAGACGAGTCGACTGGGGAAAGGCAAGTTCGACATGACAGTGCTGCTTTAATTAAATCAAAGTTGTTTTGTTACATAAAGAAACACTTCAGGGTGGTTTTGATGGTTTCCATAATTATTCAGGTCTTAGTCTATTTAAGATGATATATTCCTATTCTGAGGCTCCTGTGACACCCTGGTCAAGTGATCTTTACTAAATCCAGGGTCTCATTCATTTAAATAAAGGACATGGCACATGCAAGGGGGAAATCTTTTCTACTAATTAACGTGCAAAACAATCTTAGAACGCTCACTTTCCGTGCTAGTGATAGAGTGTTTAAAGTTTCTGTATTCTCTAAATTGCTATGAATAAAGGAAAGCTTTGTTTGCTCTGCAGCATAGGACACAGAGTGAATAATCTGATCACCTACAGTTACATCCTGACAAGTCTTTACGGCTCTGATAGCAAATAAGGAATTATATTTTTTTAGCACAGACTAGCCATATCATATCAGACACACAATAGCATAAAAATGTAATTTTATAATACTTAAATGGATAAAGAAATCCCCACTGGACTTCCCATTGACCTGTAAAAATAAGTTATATGGAATTGCAAAAATTTCCCACAAAGTTATTAATTAACCAAATTATCATCAGATAAAATAAATGCGCAGAAAATGTTACACTTAATCTTTCCTCAGACACCACGAGGACAGGAAAGGCAGCTGGGTCAAGGTCATACAGGTGGTGGCTACAGCAGGTTCAGTGTAGTAAAGATTAAGTTACAATTTTAAGATGCTTTTAGATAGCATTGCTAATTCAGCTGCTGTTATTTCATTTTGGTTTGAGTTAATGATTTATGGCATACAACACTATGCATGTAAGTCACTTAAGCCATTTTTTACTGCAAGCTGTAAAGAATCTGCTGGATATTACCATGCTATTGCATAAAAATCAATATGGCTGATGCAATTGCACAACAAACATTTTACCTCTTCATATACTTCTCTCACTGCTGCACCGCCTGGTTCTTCCTCTGGCTCCATTCCTCCACCTGGTACAATCCACTGATCTGGATATCGACTACTGCTCACTAAAAGGATCTGTAAGATTTTTAGACAGTGTTAATTTCCACTACTAGCATCAATGCCCCAAAATATACCCAGATATTACATAGGTAGATTAGAAAGCCAAAATAAGCAGAAAATCGTGGTGGGGAGCCATAATCTGAAACAAACCAACACATTCTGTAACATGCAGAATTTTAAGATCTTATTCTGCTTGAATCAACTTGTAAAATAAATAAGTTTATGTGTACACACAATGCCTATATAATCTAAAAGACAACAGTATATTTCCTTCAAATTGCATTTTTCCCCTATATGGACAATTCTTACACTCTAGCAGTGCTGTAAAGAGCTGTCGATGCTTGCAGTATCTGAAATATTCATATTGGCTGTGTTGGAATTTAAATGAAATTCAAACACATTCAAAACCATACATGAGAAAAGAGGGACTTGTTTTATAATCAAAGTTGACAAAAAGGCAGAGCTTCCTCTGTCAAGTATCACAGTCTATACTGGCGACCGCATCACAAGAGGTGGTCTATGGAGTCTCCCACTGGATCCTCCACAGACCCGTGTTGCATTTACATGCATGCCAGAGCAGATGAAGACAACGAAGATGGCAGTGCCTGTAAGAGTGAACTTCAATCCGTTGCCTGCAATATCACATGACTCTTCATTGTCTCATCCAATTCAATGGTCCTTAAGGAGGAGCACTGGGGACAAGAAGCGAATGCACAGCCAGTGCTCCGCCCCTTCAATCAAATGCTTTCTATGACAAGTAGTGGAGGATGTTACCTGTGAGAGCAGAGTCTGACTATTCTCACAGCAGAAGTGCCTCTTGTGGCTGCCAAGAAGACAGCCACTAGGGGTCCGTTTAGCCCTGCAATGGAAACACTGCCGTATCTACTAAATGGCAGAGCTTTACACTGCAGGGCTAAAACAACAAGGGCAATGCACCCAAACTATATTATTGAGATTAAGTAGTCTGAATTTGTATAGCGTCCCTTTAAACAAGCTTTTAAAAGGCTTACTCCAAGTACCACAACCACTTCAGTGTTTAGCAGGCTCCCTATATGAGCAACGTTTCAGTATGAAATGCTGCAAATACTTAGATATTTAATGCTGCTGTGAAGGTGTAACTCCATGTCAGCCAGTCCAAAACTCTTGGCTAAAGTCAATTCTGTGCATGCAGGAGAGTACAGCAATGATACAGGCTCCTAGTGGATTAAAGACAAAAAGCTAAAAAGAGAAGACTGAAGAGTTTGCAAGGGAGTGTTTCAAGTAATTGACTAGCTTTGCCTGCTTGTGTGTGCCACACGCAAAGCAGGCAAATCATTTTGTCTTTGCCCTTAAAAGTGACAGAGCCGCTGTAATCATAGTAAACCACTTAAAAGCTTCAAGTCTCTATTTGCAGGATTAAGTGGGTTGTGATGGGCACTTGAACAGTACCAATATATATTCATACTGCCAGGTATATTTAGTGTAATATAGGACTTTCATAATTTAACTTCTTTTCCCAATCAGAAATGAAAGCAATTGATTCTCGGCAGGGTACTGCATCCACTTTAAAGGACCCGGAGGAGTCAGCCTCTAGTTCCCTCAAGACCTCAACAACGTACACAATGAGCACTACTAGAAAGCAGCAAAGGAGCCGTCGCAAACAGAGTTGATGTAATAGGTATGGTGCACTGGAAGGATAACCTCTTTATGCTGCCCTAGCATCAGAGAAATGCTAATTCAGCAAATATATGTGGAGGTATGTGAGATGCAATCACTTAGGTTGGGGGCCAAATAAGTTGGTTCCACTGGGTCATTTGTTCAGTGATCCTGCCACACAAATAGTTATATAAAGCTTACAGCGGAGTAGATTATACTAAAGTTGTAGGGTTGGTATGTTTAACGTACACAGAATAGGGACCCCTATTTCAAGACAGTGGTTTTACTAGATGAAACCCTGAAATCTGTGATAGAGCCAAACAGAATATTGTCAGGGTTTTTTTTTTTTTTTTAAACTAAAGTGATAATTCAACAAGAATTTCATATTTCAAGTCAAAACAGCGAAACTGAAAAAAAATATTTGTGAGTCAGCTATTCTTTCAGTTCGGGTACTCTGGCATTAAATTTGAAACTCACTTTGAATTCTTATTTTAGGAAACAACACTGTCTAATGCTAGACTACAACCACTGGTGCTAGAAATTGGACCTGGAACCAAGAATTTTTATTTATGCCAGGCTACATGGGAGCAGGGTGCCTCCGCATCCTCCAGCAGATGTAATGCTTCACAGTACTGAAAAGAAGGGATAGGTCACATTTATAAATCTGTGCCATGATTAAATATGCCATGCAGGAGAGCAGTCAAACAGACAGTTCACTCCTTCCTAGACACAACATAAAATCATGCATTGCCTACACAAGCAGGGGAAGGACAGAGTTGTTACACTTTATGTAAGAATGAGTGATTGTCTAGTTATTAACATGTGTAATATATATATACACACATATTATATATATATATATATATATATATATATATATATATTTTACACAAGATCCAGCGCACTCACCTATCCACTAAACAGCAACTTCAATGTTGAAAGATTTTATTAGATTTTTTTTAAAACACCTAATCTAGGCAAAAATAATGGGGGTTTAGCCACACTATATGATCATACATTGTATAAGCCTGCCACAATGTCAATGTACCCCATCTTAGGACCTGCCAAAGATGGGGTACATTGACGTTGTGGCAGGCTGATGCAATGTATGATCATATAGTGTGGCTAAACCCCCATTATTTTTGCCTAGATTAGGTGTTTTTTAAAAAATCTAATAAAATCTTTCAACATTGAAGTTGCTGTTTAGTGGATAGGTGAGTGCGCTGGATCTTGTGTATTGTATTATTTGGCCCCCAGCAGCACCCCCATTTATGCATGTTAAGGTGAGTGCAGCCAACCCCCTCTTGTTTATATATATATATATATATATATATATATATATATATATATATATATATATATATATATATATATATATATATATATATATATATATATACACATATACATACACACACACACACATACATATATATATATACACACACATACATACACACACACACATACATACACATATATATATATATACAGTTAGTTATGTATGATAGCTGTTTAAAGAGTTACTCCAACCAAAAAAAACTTTTTATATCAAAAAATAAAATATAATATTTGTTAGAGTAATCCTTTGGGAAGTTGTCCATACCCTTAAAAAAAATTGAAGTAAGGCGTAAAAAAAACACAAACAAAAACCTCCATTCCTCCTGCAGCCAGATTCTGGGTGGCTGCTATTGGCTAAAGATACTTCCGGCGTTGGAGTGACATCTCCAGCAGCTAAGTGGTGTATGCATTTCATAACTAAGCGTTCTGGGCAACATTACCTCAATGGCAATATTAAATAGCTAAGTATGTGCACAGTTTTTTTTATTGAGAAGCTGCATACACACCTCTAAAAGATTAATCTATAAAAATGTTTCACACTGAAACTGTATATAAAATTTCCAGAAGAAAAGAAAGGGTGTCCATAGATTCTTTAAAATTAAGTAGAATGTATCAAGCAACTACCCTGTCATATTTTAGATTAAATTAATTCTAGGCAAAATATAACTCAATGTAGCTATAGACATCCATCCATTACCTATGCAAATATTAAGGCACTTAACGGTTTTATATAATAAATCAAGGAAAACTAATGAAGGAAGGTTGAGGTGGGGTTTGACAGAGATTCTTATAATCTGCTGAGCAGACAAACGTCCATTGTAGCTATGTCAGATGCCTCACGAACAATACTAAACCAGAGAAAAACTCCATTACGTCAATTTATCCATGGCTTTGTGAAATACTTCTAATCAGCATTTGCCATTTAGCAAAGCTCTAGCATAAAACCCAACTTACTATCGGGGATAAAAACAAAATGATACATGGCTTGCATGGAACAAAACACTTTTTCAAATGCAAACACAAATAGATATTGCTTTGGTACATTAGCAGAAGAAAAATAGTCTGATTTACCATTTTAGGTACAGAACCAACATTTGCACAACATGTGAGGCATAATATATATATATATATTTTTTTTTTAAATGGTTTAGGAAATAGATGGCATATCACCATGTCAACAATACAGTGTTAAGTGTGTTAAGGTGGGAATGATTTATGTAAACCAAAGTTGTTGAACAGCCTGATCTTGGAATACAAATTAAATTTTTTTTCAAATTAAGAAAAAAAAAAAATGCATAATTCGGATTTGGTTTAAAAACCAACAGCATCCATGATCATTCCAGCTTCACACCCTCTACAGAAGTAAGACCGGAAAGACTGTTTTCAAACACATCTGAGTCAAGATATGTATATGAAGGATCCTGTTTATTATATACTTTAAAAAAATAAAAAAATTAAAGGACCACTATAGTGCCAGGAAAACATACTAATTTTCCTGGCACTATAGTGCCCTGAGGGTGCCCCCACCCTCAGGGTCCCCCTCCTGCCAGGCTGGATGGAGAGGAAGGGGTTAAACTTCTTTTTCCAGCGCCGGGCAGGGAGCTCTCCTCCTCCTCTTCGGCTGAATGCGCATGCGCGACAGGAGCTGCGCGCGCAGCCAGTCCATAGGAAAGCATTCTCAATGCTTTCCTATGGACGCTGGCGTCTTCTCACTGTGATTTTCACAGTGAGAAGCACGCAAGCGCCTCTAGCGGCTGTCAAGAGACAGCCACTGGAGGCTGGATTAACCCTAACATAAACATAGCAGTTTCTCTGAAACTGCTACATTTAAAAAAAAAAAAGGGTTAACCCTAGCTGGACCTGGCACCCAGACCACCTCATTAAGCTGAAGTGCTCTGGGTGCCTATAGTGGTCCTTTAATTAGTGTGTCCAGTAGCCACACCTCCAGTGAGCCTTATTTGTTTTTTTTAACTGCTCTAAAACGGTTTAACACTGAATGGAGGGACAGTTCCAGGGGATTCCAGGAATGATAACCAATTCAAAGAGTTGAAATGGTTATAGTGACTACAGTTTCCTTTTAAGTCCACCTCTGGTGGCTATCAGTACTGAATAACAATATGGATATGTACAGTAGAGTTAGGAATGCATATTTGTTTACCTAATGCTATATAGTGTCCATTTAAAGGGTTACTCCAAGCGCTGACAGCCAATGAATTGAGACTGGTATGGTTTCCGGCTTCTGCAGAAGCTGGAAGCAGGTCACCAGTGCTGAGAGCAGACCGGGAGGCTGATGAGGACCTAGGCAAGTGTGCAAACAGTTACTTGGTATCATAACCACTACAACGGGCTGTATCGGTTATGATACTGTCACAGTGCCAAATTGTCCTACTCTTGTGGGAATGACCTTTGCAACATTACCCATTGTTTTTTCTAAATCTAATGTTGCCCTTTTAACCACTGCTTTTTTTCAGTTTTGTGAATGCATCATTCAGACGCAAATAGAATGCACTTAGATGAAGCAGATAAGACCCCAGCAACCCTAGGTATGGTTTACTTACCGGAAACTGTGTCTTTTCTGGCGCACCATCTCTATCATGGGGATCCTCTCCTGCTCCTGTTGCTTATAACTTTTGACTGCATTGGAATTTCAGAGAAATTCCAACACAGTCCATTTGTATATTTAATTTTCCAGATTTTATGTTTCTGAAATTACCTTTGAGGTCAACTCCACCTCCAGTGACTGTCTAAAAGACAGCCATTAGAAAGACTTCCAAGTCGTTAGGTGAATTTTGGTCGACTGACGCTGGATGTCCCCACACTATGCATGAGGACATCTAGCATTACCTAGAACCCCTTAGAAAAGCATTGTATAATTATTATAGGGGAAATCCTAATGCGAGCACAGTCATTGCCCTGCATGCGCAGCAGCTGCCCATCAGTTGTTTTGCAATCCCCAATCTTTTAGTGGCAGTCATTGATACAGCCATCAGAAGCTCAAGACAAATATAGATTCAATAAATGCAAAGTATGCTGAATGTTTTCCCAATGCCTCTCCACAACAAGCAACGGACAAATCATGGTGACTCTACATTGCTTCCCTATAACAAGACAAAAATAATTAATTTTGATGACTTTAAGGAGGGAGGATCCGCCTGCAGTGAGGAGTTTGCCCCAGCACTGGAATAAAGGCAAGTTTAATTGTACTTTTAAAGGTGATATTAGAAAGAGAGATTCAATATATTAAATGAAAACATCTAATTACAACAAAGAAAAAGAAAAAAATGTGCCTGCTTAACTTTTCCAATAACTCTTGCACAATACCCCAACACATGGTGGAAAACTGATTATTTTCTGTTATTCACTGAAAAGGTTCACCCTTTCATAACTGGATTTTCAAGAAAACTTCTCTTATTAACTTCCTATCATTACCATTGTCTCCAACCACAACAAGGAAAGGGGCAACTTCCAATTATCTCAAATTACCAAATTGGGTTTTGGCTCATTGGAGTGGACACAAACAAATCTTTTGCTAAACAGTTTGACTCATTATTGGCGAACTGGTGCAGGGTACTACGAACATCAAAACTGCCACAGCGGGCTGTAGTGGTTATGATGCTTATAGTAACCCTTAAAAAAAAAAAAAAAAACCTGCTTAGAAGAGTTGTAAAACACAGCCATAGTGGCTGCATTGTGTCAAATGCCCTGGCTGCACCCTACAGAGACATTTTTTTCCAACAAAAAAAAAAACTCAAAAAACAAGTGAAATAATCAAAAAGGTTTTAAACAACTATGGCTCACTTTTTAATTTGTTCTAGAGCTCTGTCAAGCCACAATTTTCTTAGAGGGTTAGGGTTGTAGAGTGATCTTTAACTATAAATAAAAAAAATAAAAAAACACAACAATCTTTGCAGAATATAAGAAAAATATTAGGGGTGGGGGGGTGGGAAGAGAAAAATTTGGGGAAAAAAAAAAAAATCTGCTATAACCAGTAAGTACCACAAGGGGGAGCAATGCATTGTAAAACTAAACCTTCAGTTAGTCCTTTGCCATAAGAGATCAGAAATGTCGATGTCTTGTTCTATTTAGATTTCAGATCAGTGAATTAAGCACAGCGCCCCAGAACTGTACAAGCATTTGGGATATGCCCCAAAGTTAAATAGTATAAGGCACAAATGGCTTGCGTTACTATCTTCACCTCCCTTCTGTTTGCATGTGTAGTGAATGCATGGATGAAAAATGATGTATACAGAATTACTTTAATCTTGGTCTTGCTCCAGCAATCTGTCTAACACATTTATCAGTTGCATATACGGTCTTCTCTAGCCATGAACAGCAGGAGAAAGGATATTGTAACCGAGATGGTAGAGAGCCAAAACCTTCAGATAGTAGTTTAATAGAGCAATTAGAATGCTTTAGCGTGTAACTGTTGGGGATCTAACTGAATCAGAAAAAAAATTTAACTTTCTCAGAACTAAAACCATCTTCAGGTTTTGTGAACAAAGATTTTTTTTTCAATTATCTAAAAGGTTAGATAATTTTTAATGAAAAATCTAATTTTCCCGAAAGAACAGAAAAACAAAAACAAAAAAAAACCACCCCACTAAACTTTGAACTAATCATTAATTCTAAGGACATTAAAAACCTAATTTCAAAAATACAATAATTATATAAAATAGAAAATCATTCCCTTCTGCACTATTGAAATGGAGTAGAAATCTGGGTATACAAAATTTCCCATAAAGATAGGTGTAAATCAATCCAAACCCTAAATACAAATCTTCATTGTTTAACCCCTTCTGGACCGGACTGTTTTGGCCATGTTGTACGTTAAGGACCAAAGCTGTTTTAACACTTTTGTTGTGTTTAGCTGTAATTGTCCTCTTCCCATACAAATTATATATATTTTTTCCAGAAAAAGAAGGGCTTTACATACCATTATTTGCATCATGTTATTTAATTTACTTTAAAAAAAAAAAAAAAAAAAATATGGTGAAAAATTGAACAAAAATAAACAAGCTTTACTTGAAAAATCTTTTACTCATCTACAAAAGCTAATGAAAAAAAACAACTGCTAAATAGATTCAAAATGTTGCCCTGAGTTTAAAAACCCAGCATTTACATTCTTTTTTTTTGCAAGTTATAGGGCTATAAGTACAAGTAGGATATTGCGGTTTCGAAATATATATTTTTTTAATTTATCAATAGTGAGATTTTAACACTATCTTTCATAAATCTCTAAATCACACCTCCAAGTGTATTTTGATATAAATATATATATTAATATCAAAATACAGTGAGAATAAAGTTACATATATAATTTAATTTTTTTGTAACGTTTTAAGTTTAAAATTAATTTTTATTTATATTTTATAATATATACGATATATATATAGTTGTATATATTATATATATATATGTGTGTGTAATTTAATTCTGAGTGTATTTTTATATTAATATATAAATATAATAGAGAAATACACTTGGTATGACAAACACACACATAAACACACACACACCTAATTATATTTTTATTTATTAACATTTTTTTATTTTAAACATGCAGGGAGACTGCCTGTCAGCACAGACTGTGCGGCTGCAGGCAGATACACAGGCACCTATTGCAGCCATGTGACTGCTCTGTTAAAGCGATCACATGGGCACGGGGCCCTAATTCGCCAAGGGTGGACTGCCAGTGATTCAACAACGATCACAGTCGGGGGAACGGCAGTGATCGGGTAAGTAAATATTACAGTTATGACGGTTCAGGTCCTCAAGGGTATTTTTCCGATGATGGTCCTGAACCGTCAGCGGTCAATAAGGGGTTACATCTAAACAAGCTACACAATAAAGATCTTAAAAAGATGGCATCTTGTCCCTAAAAGGATTTTTTTTAAATTCCCTACTTAATCTGATAATTGTTGGAGATGTGGAGAAAAGGCGGCAGACTTTATTCATATCTGGTCGGATTGTTCAATTATTAAATATTTATGGCAGGATGTTGGTGCAAAAAATAAATACAATTTTAAAATCCAAAATACTTCTAAAACCAGATTTGATGCTTCTACATATAAACATACCTAGAATTAAAAAAAACAAAAACAAAAACAGAGAAAACATTATATTGCTACATATGTTGACTGCAACAAAATAAATTACAGCAAATAAATGGAAAAACCCTTTTAACCCCTTAAGGACCGAGGACGGTTCAGGACCGTCATCGGCATTTTTCCATTGCCGACCGATGACGGTCCTGAACCGTCCTAACGGTCAGAGCTACTTACCTGATCGCCGTCGTTCCCCCGGCGGCGATCAGCGTGGCTCCGGTTGTGGGGAGACTGTCTGCAGCCCAGACAGTCTCCCCACGGCAGATTAGGACCCCTGTGGCCATGTGATCGCTTAACACAGTGATCACATGGTCACAATAGGTGTCCATGTGTCTGCCTGCAGGGGGACTGTCTGTGCTGACAGGCAGTCTCCCTGCTGGTGTAAAATCAAAAAATAAATAAAGTTAATGTTAATTAAAAAATAAATAATTAATTATATATGTGTATATATGATATATAGACATATATTATATCTATATAATATATGTCCATATATATATATATATATATATATATATATATATAATGTCATACTAAGTGTATTTTTATATTAATATGTACTTATATTAATATAAAAATACACTTATAATTAAATTACACACGTATATATATAATATATATAATAACTATATATATTGTATATATATTATTATAAAATATAAATAATAAGTAATTTAAATTAAATAATTTTTTTTAAATAATAATAAAAATTTTAAAAAAAATTATATATCTATATGAAATTTTATTCTAACTGTATTTTAAAATTAATATATATATATTTATATCAAAATACACTTAGAATGAATTTGTATATATATCTATGTATATAAAAATAAATAAAAATAATAAGAAATATACATACGCCCATATACAAAATTACATAAATAATTATATAAATATACACGTAGACTTCAAATATATAAATATGCATATATATTTAAATTCTACGTGCGTATTTATGTAATATTTTTACATAATTCAGTAATTTTATTGATTGCAATTTGAGGGACCTGCCTGCCAACCCAGGCCGAAATTCCAGAGAATTTAATTTGCTAGCACTATATTTTACCCTGTAACGTTCTACGACACCCTAAAACCTGTACATGGGGGGTACTGTTTTACTCGGGAGACTTCGCTGAACACAAATATTAGTGATTCAAAATAGTAAAACATATCACAGCGATGATATTGTCAGTGAAAGTGACTTTATTTGCATTTTTCACACACAAACAGCACTTTTACTGATGATATAATTGTTGTGATACGTTTTCCAGTTTTTAATCACTAATATTTGTGTTCAGCGATGTCTCCCGAGTAAAACAGTAACCCCCATGTACAGGTTTTATAGCATTTTTGAAAGTTACAAGGTCAAATATATGGGTCAAATATTTTACATTGAAAATGGCCAGGTTGGTTACGTTGCCTTTGAGAGCGTATGGTAGCCCAGGAATGAGAATTACCCCCATGATGGCATACCATTTGCAAAAGAAGACAACCCAAGGTATTGCAAATGGGGTATGTCCAGTCTTTTTTAGTAACCACTTGGTTACAAACACTGGCCAAAATTAGCGTTCAATTTAGTTTTTTTACTTTTTTCACACACAAACAAATATGAATGCTTACTTTGGCCAGTGTTTTCGACTAAGTGGCTACTAAAAAAGACTGGACATACCCTATATTGAATACCCTGGGTTGTCTACTTTAAAAAAAATATGTACATGTGGGGTGTTATTCAGAGATTTATGACAGATAATAGTGTTACAATGTCACTATTGATAAATTTTAAAAATGTATGTTTTGAAACCGCAATATCCTACTTGTACCTATAGCCCTATAACATGCAAAAAAAAAAGCAAAAAAGCACGTAAACACTAGGTATTTTTAAACTCAGGACAAAAATTTTGAATCTATTTAGCAGTTTTTTTCATTCGCTTTTGTAGATGAGTAAAAGATTTTTCAAGTAAAAGTCAAAAAACATGTATTTTTTCAATTTTTCATCAGATTTTTGTATTTTTTTTAAATTAAAATACATGAGATTATATAAATAATGGTATGTAAAGAAAGCCCCTTTTGTCCTGAAAAAAACAATATATAATTTGTATGGGAACAGTAAATGAGAAAGCAGAAAATTACAGCCAAACACAAACACCACAAAAGTGTAAAAATATGCCTGGTCGCAAATGTACAACATCGCAAAAACAGTCCAGTCCTTAAGGGGTTAAACCTGATTGGTGTCTGATAAGACCTCAAATAAATTTTCAACTACTTATGGAGAAATATATTCCAGCACCCAGTAATAAACTCAGATATACTGGATTTTGGGATGACAAAAAGATTGAATTCTTTATAAAAATTACTATTGTTGAGTCAGGGTAAGTCTTGGAAATTGCAGGTTAGCCACCAGCCTCCTTTTTTCTTTTTGTGTTTAGTCCTTCAGTCAAGAGAAAATAATTTGAGCAATGTATGTTATTTTTGCATACTAGGTAATTAATGGATATAAAGAAATACAACAAATTAAAAAATCAAATACAATAATGGTAGAACAGTATTATTTATTAAGAACGGAATAAGGTTTTATTGTAGTCGTATGCAAATTTATTTATTTTTTATAAATGTCTTTTACTGTTTTTGTATTTAACAAAAATTCTGAAATAAAAATCAACTTAAAAAAAAACTTAAAATGCTTTAGCATGCACCCAGGCCTCTTCTACATTCGTAAAGCACTAGAAGACAATCACATTATAATTATCAACATAAAGCTTTGTATAATTTTCAGTCTATCTACTCTAGCCTTATATTTTACATTCACTTACGATTACCAGCAATTCTCACTTTAGTGTATAACCCTTCAAGCTTATTATTAGGGATGCACTGAAATTTCAGCTGCTGAAATTTTCAGCCTAAAATGGGCCTAATCTGCCAAAAATTACAACCCCCAAATCCCTCTCTGCCCATACCCCATTCCAAACCTCTCTAAGTCCATGTTCCCTTGTCTGTGCCATCTTCCTAGTCCCCTTGTCTCCTGGGTCCGGCTCTCTAGCCCTGAGCCTCACTCAAACCTGCTCTTGGATTCCCTGAAACCCAGTGGTCATAATTCTGACTAAAGTACCTGCCTTTCTTTTTCAATACCTGGCTGTCCATGTCTCTCTTCTCTGACCGTCTTTCCTTGGCTTGTTACCGATCCTATGATTGGCTTCCTGCTCCACTGCTCTTCTTTACATGGCGAGATAAAGAGTCACAAATCCAGGCAGGCCCCACAGCCCCAACCTAGACACAATCCCCCCTTCCCTCTTGCTGCTTGCAATGGACCGCTCCGCCCGTCGATCCTAGAGCCGAAATGTACCACTCCGGATCTGACCAATCTGAGGGAGCTAGGGGGGGGAGGTGATTCATGACGGGAAGAAATTGGAAAAGAACGGGAGGGCCAACAGGAGTGGTGTTCCAATAGTCTTAGAGTGAAACTTTTTTCAGCTGTCTTTAATCTGTAAAGAAATTATCTAATTTGTTTAACTAATTTAATAAGTTGTTTAAAGCTTAGATGTTTTGAATTGCAATAAACCAAAACTTTCTCATGGTGGTCACACATTCCATACTGTCCACTTTGAATGTTAAAGGTTTGGGCTTTTTATAGAAAATAACTCAATGAGTTCAGATCAGAGGTGTTCCTAAATTCCAGTTCTGGCACAAAGCAATTAGAAAACTGGAGATATGTCATGACCCATCTTCACCTCTTTATATTATTATCTTCCCTTTTCTCTCCCCTATGTTGTGTCCCCCAGATTGCTCATTGCCTGCCATGTTTTCTCCTGCCTACAGGGCCAATGCTTGTGTTTGGGACACCCAACGCTAACTATACTTAGCTTAGTCACATGGCAGGTGCCTACTCTGCCCAATATAACAGTATCTGGCAGGGCCCAGAGGTGAATGGGCAGCAAGGCAGGCATGTGTACTTACCTTTCTCTCCCTGACCTGCAGTGCAGGCTAGTTTGATTGATAGATTATACGAATAGGTGGCTGACTTCCTGTTTCGATGGCAATGGAAGGTTCATTCCCCGCATTCCCTTACTTAAATCATGGCCCTATACACTCAAAGAGACAGGCCTGCATTTTGGGTCTATTGTTTTGCTTCATCTGCAATTTTACAAGGGGCTTATACATTAAACACAGAATTGTAGTGCACTAAATCATTTTCGGTTTCGGCCAGAATTTTTCATTTTGGTGCAGATTTGCGGCCACAACATACAAGGTTATTCACGGAGTAGGAAACTGAAATCCAAATTGCTAAATTTAGACAAACATAACGTTAAGAAATTATCTAACTCTCATGTAGGTTACATCTATACTATTTCACTCTTAATGGGAAAGTTGTTCGCACCCGCTTTTTAAAAATATTTTTTAATTACACTATTGAATAAAACAAGGGAAATCATCTAAGTCTTGTGATGTCCCATTTACTTTTAAATGTATAATAAAGATTTAGCATTTAACAACACAACCTTGCACATCCTGAGCACACATTAAATTGGAGGAGATGCAAACAATAGGGGAGATTTACGCGAGTGCTGTCTTCTGAAAGACATGCTCTCCTATAGTCACCATGGAGACCACAGAAAGCTGCAGGCATATTCTACTGATGAGTGTTGCTCTCTCACAACTTTGCACGACATTTCAGAACAGACCACTGGGGATAAAAATCCACTAGTATTTCAGAGCCACCATTCTGCACTTCACATAAAAATAATCAACATACTATTTTTGCACCTAAAAAAAATATATCATTCCCAAACCTACTAGTCATGCCCAAAGCAAGAAATCGATTCTGTGAATTACATTGAGCTTACTAGCTCTACTACAAACTAGTTCACAAGCAGAATGCCTTGTATTTTTTTTTTTTTTTTTTAACACTGGCCTCTCTTTTTTGATCCAGTCAATCTTTAATTCCAGCTCACTTCTAAAAAATATAGCTTGTATTTGTCCCCTGCATAAGATGCAACCAAAGCTCTTGCTCACTCACTTATTTCCAAACTTGATTACGGCAATCTATACCTCACAGTTGCTCACATTACCCAGCTCTTGTTTGCAGCAAGTACTGCTGCCAGGCTTATCTCCCTCCACTGACAAGACTTCTCCCACTTCACCCCTTTGTCAATCCTTATGCTGTTGTGCTGTTCTTTGGGATTAAATTACAAACAGTGGTTCACATCTAGAAAAGTTCTCCAAAACCATACACCTAAATACATATATAAGAGCAGGCACAAACCATATTTATCTCTCCACTATGCTAACAACCTTTACCTGTCCTATGTCCTACTAAGTATGTTTTGCAATGTCTCACATTCTATCCATAACCACCTTCCATTCTGGATACAAAGTATACGCTACCTGCTCTAGAAATGCTGTCCAAGTTCTTTGGTGTGGCGGGCTGGATTTTGCTGGAAGAACATGCTGGGGAGCCTTATCAAATAAACTAGTACAAGTGCTGCATGTTTATGCAATGTCATTCATCTTCAAGCTCAGTGCTACTCGCAATGGCGACTTCCTTATTGCTACTGATGGAATACGAGTTTTACAATACATATTGTTTTGTAGTAATTTATGCATATTAATGTTATTTTCATATCCCATGAATGTTATAATGCCATTTCTCACCATCCCCTTGCAAGGGAATCCAGTTAGCTTCACATAACTAAGCAGGACTCTGTAGCCAAGCTCTTTGGCATCAGTTGGGCTCTGTCAGCCAATGTGCATAACCCTGCCTTGAGCAAAGCTTAGCTCTAGGTGAAAAATCCGTTATCTCCTGCAGGAGAAGCCAGATGCACCATAAGTGTATGAGGAACCAGGTAAGTTGCCAACCATTCCTGACAACATAACCACTACACTGGGCTGTTGTGGTTATGGTGCTTTGAGTGTTCCTTTAAGCTCCTGCCCTACCTGACAGGAGAACCAAGCAAGAAAGCATACACGAGGGAGAATGCAAAAGAACTCTAAAATGAAAAACAGTAAGTATATTGTACAGTGCATCCATACTAACCAGTACACCATTTTAGCACGTTTGCAGAGAAAGTGTGGGACTAAGATCCATTTATTATTACTCAAACATATACCCTGAAAAATGATAATGTAATTAAAATGTATGATTACTTTTCTGCAAAAAAAAAAAAAAAAACACCTCTACCATATGCCTGTCACAATCAGTATCTAAAATGCCAATATGAATTATCAGTAACCTGTACCAGTATGTAGAATTAAGCTACTTGAACAGAAAACACATTAAAATATGTCAGAATAGAACTTGTATATAAAACATGGAGGGTGAACCCTGCCCAAATTTAATGTGGCATAAATATTTATGAGTTACCATATCCATTCATAAATGTTCCTTAAATAAGACTGTGGCTCTAATGGACATGCATGGGTTCTAATTAATTCACTTTAATGAGAAAAGGCAATTCCATGATTTATGACGCTTAGACATGGAGGCTTTGCGTTAGGCATGTCCCACTTCTTGGAAGCAGAAGGAAGGACATACATCATACAAGATTATTTCTCTTTAGCATTTTTGCACTTTTGATAGCTGTGAAGGAGCAGGAGCAAGATTGTAAATCTTCTGCCAAGTAGTTTAGATGTCTAACTTCCAGCTCTTTTCCCACTATTATCTGTTGTATGAAGTGTGCTAGTCCCAGGTGCCCTAATAATCAGGGATGCTCTCAGCCAATGAATGGACATGACTGGTTATGTTCCTTTAATTACATTTCAGCACAATAGACAGCTTTTCATTATTATTAGTAAAAAAGACAGGTGTGCGTTAAAGGACCACTATAGTGCCAGGAAAACACTTGCCCCCCACCCTCAGGGTTCCTACTCCCGTGGCGCTGAAGGAGGAGGAAGGGGTTAATCCCTTACCTTTTTTCCAGCGCCGGGCTCCCTCTGCGCTGGGACTCTCCTCCCTCTTCTGACGTGCCTGGCTGAATGCTTTCAGCCATTCTCATAGGAAAGCATTCTCACTGAAAATCACAGTGAGAAGCGCGGAAGAGCCTCTAGCGGCGGTCAATGAGACAGCCACTAGAGGCTGGATTAACCCATAGGTAAACATAGCAGTTTCTCTGAAACTGCTATATTTACAGCAAAAATGGTTAAACCTAGCTGGACCTGGCACCCAGACCACTTCATTAAGCTGAAGTGGTCTGGGTGCCTTTAGTGGTCCTTTGAGGGCTAATGTGGAGAACTCATGGATATTTTTTTAAAGAACTACGGTACATTAATGTTAGTATTACAATTATTTTATCTTACAGGTTATTGACAAGAATAAACAAAAAGGTAGGTAGGTGAAATTTCATTCTTTTATATAGGGAGCACCTCGTGCTAGTGGCATCAGAGAAACTCCTAACGGACAGCAATTGACTTACATAAAGACTGCCACTAGGATAGCGTGTACTACAAATCTTATTTTATTTTGCCAGGAGTCTGGGTAGTGTTTGCAAATTCTGTCCAATATTGGCATCTGACACCAGCATGTAAAGCACCACAGCCAACCCACACCTACATCTATCCTCTCTGGTCTGACCTACCTCGCTCTTCAGCAAGGCTAAGCTTCCCCTCTCCCCCCCCCCCTTTAATTGGGGGGAGTGATTACAACAAAAAACAGTGTTTAATGCCCTAGTACCAAAAACAATCTAGACATCCTATGGGGGTGTTTGAGGGTTATTTTTTTTGCATTAAGAGTTATATTTGTGCAGAGTTTAGCTGTAAAACCCTGCAGACAGTTTAACCCTTTATTCCACCTCCAGCAGTGTCACCAGCCAACACAGAGTCCTGGGTAATGTTAAAGGGACACTGTAGGCACCCAGACCACTTCAGCGGTTTGGGTGCAAACTCCCATCACCCTTAACCCGGAGCATGTAATTATTGCAGTTTTTATAAAAATATATGTATATAACGCCGTGGGCTATGTATGAGAGACGGTTGTGGTGTACCTAAACCGACGATCAGGTAGGCCTGAAAAAAAGGAGCCCCAAAAAGTTTAATTGTAACACTTTAATACGGATACTAGTTACCGAACCCTTTCTATGAAGGCTTTCCTGAATTCTCTCTCAGGCTGTGGACTGTACTTGCTGTAAGCTGCAGATATCCACCAACATAATTCCTTGCTTGTGTGTGCTGGCACATTCCAGCTGGAAGCGGCGCTGAACTTAAGGGAGTGACCTGTGATGATCCATGGGTCATAGCCTAATCTAGTAGCTAGGGTCCTCATGTAGAACATGAATTTAACGGTAGTAAGTGGTTTGTCGTGTAGTGTAAATAGGGGTGTTTAGCTCTGTTGCTCTGTAAGAGAGGCAAAAGTATCCAAACACTTCCACCGGATCCCATTTGTCGTGGGTCGGATAGCATGGGATCTCTATCATGGGGCACATCTAATGTGTCTCGGAACGTCGTAGTTGTAACAGACTCCCTGCTTGTGTAGGTCCATTATGCTAAAGTAAACCGGAGTACAGGATAATCTTCCAAATCGTAGTTCGTTAGGGTGTAGGAATCCATAACATTTTACGTGCATGGCCGCTAGATTGTAATAGTCGTACGGAGTTCAGATGGGTTGGCGTCTAGAAACTCTCATAGTGCCTTAATTCCTGTCCGTCTATAGGCAGTCTTCAAGCATTGGGGTCGCCTGTTTCCCCAGCCAGGTACAGGTATGCATACAAATAGTAAAGACCTATTTTGAATCCATGTAAATGCCAGTGATGGGTGTATAGGTAGTGACTTAAAAACATTTGAGATAACCGTTTTTCCCAGCCAAGCTCCATACCCAGCTTTCAAGAATGCCCATATGGCGTTAATCCACTGTGACATATTGAAGTAAGTAGTGACGGCTTAGTGAGGCCAGGTTTAGAGGTATTTCTGAAGGACCTTAAGTTTGCATTAAACAACGTATCTAGTTCACGGTCAGGAAATGAATATCAGAGGGGGGGTTGGATAGACCTCCATAATGAGGGAAATTTGGTCCCTCTGGAATGTCCTGAGTGTAGGCCGCACGGTTAGCGTGGCCGTGTAACCGGATGGTGTACTCTGACCATGGTATGCTAGAGCAGTGCATAATCCCCAACAGCAGGACAGCATCCATATGCAGTGCCCAAAATGGTGGGCTGAAAGTAGCTGGTAGCGAAAAGCACCCTGATGGCAATACAAAGTATGTTGTGAAGGCCTAGGGAGGCTTGCGACTTAAGTATACAAGCAAAGGCTGAGCCCATAGTAATTCTTTAACGGCAAGATGGCCACATATAGGTAGTACGTGACTTAGTGGATGTATTAAAGGACCACTATAGTGCCAGGAAAAAATACTCGTTTTCCTGGCACTATAGTGCCCTGAGGGTGCCCCCACCCTCAGGGCCCCCCTGCCGCCGGGCTCTAGGGAGTGGAAGGGGTTAAATTGACCTATTTTTCCAGCGCCCGGCGGGGGACTCTCCCCGTCGTCATCGGCTGAATGCGCATCCGCGGCATGAGCCGCGCGCGCATTCAGCCAGTCCATAGGAAAGTATTCTCAATGCTTTCCTATGGACGCTGGCGTCTTCTCAGTGTGAAAAATCACAGTGAGAAACGCAGAAACGCCTCTAGCAGCGGTCAATGAGACAACCACTAGAGGCTGGATTAGCCCTAATGTAAACATAGCAGTTTCTCTGAAACTGCTGCTATGTTTATAGAAGAAAGGGTTAATCCTAGCTAGACCTGGCACCCAGACCACTTCATTAAGCTGAAGTGGTCTGGGTACCTATAGTGGTCCTTTAATGATAACATGTGGGTTCAGTGGCGGCTTTTCAGATGTTTGGTACAAGCTACTTACGCCTACCCATGTAAGCTGAATGGTAATTGAACTTAATGCCCAAAGGAAGGGCTAAAGTCTGTCTTAGTAGGATATGAGAGTCGAGAGACCGCAGTGTAACCCATTGAGTAACTCAATAAGCACCTTGTTTATGAACCAGTGAACACGAGAGGACGCACGTAGTAATTTAGGACTGTATACAATACATACCCGCATGCAACTAGAATTTACCAAAACCGAGGTTTAAAAACACTGGAATGCAAATGAAGACCAAACGCAAGTGTGAACATAACGGCCATACTATGCATGCTTGGAAAGCATTAGTATTGTAATGTCATATAATAACAAGCAACACATATGCATAGGAGGAGAAATAGCACTTTGTCTAGGAAAGGAACAGGCCTAATTGGAATGTAGATTGACAAACAGATATGAAACCACAGAATATGCTAATGAGGTAACTAAGTTAATTATGGAAACTTGCTGTATGGATAAATGTCACCGTAAGGTTGATAGAACTCGGCTAAGTAAAGAGCAAAAAAAAATAAAAAAAATTATATATATAATATACTGCCCCCTTGCAGCAAGCCAGGCATGACAGCCTTGTCAATTATATAAACATTCTAAATTTCATGATTATGTCCCTTAGTTAAAGAAAAGGGGGGGGAAAAAATAAAAAAAAAATATAAATTTTTTAAATTTTTTTTTTACATTTGGCATTGATTGGTGGTAAAATGGTTGCATGAAGAGAGTCAAAATACCCCAAGTTTAATACCTTAGGTTGTCTTCTTTTAAAAAAAAATATATATACATGTGAAGGGTTATTCAGGGATTCCTGACAGATATTAGATATTACAATGTAAATTTTGAAGAAAAAAAAAATGGTGCTACTTTTACTTATTGCCCTATAACTTGCAAAAAAATTTAAAAATGATAAGAACATGTTAACGGTGCGTATTTTTGAACTCAGGACAAAATTTATAAACGGTTTAGCACAGGTGTTTTTTGGCAGTTGTAGATGCATAACATTTTGGTGGTCAAAGTTCCAAAAAGTGTGTTTACATTTTTTCCATCATATTTTATAGTAAGTTATATGATATGATAAAAATAATGGTATCTTTAGAAAGACCATTTAATGGCAAGAAAAATGGTATATACTGTAATGTGTGGATACAGTAATTGAGTAAGCGGAAAATTACAGCTAAACACAAACACCGCAGAAATGTAAAAACAGCCCTGGTCCTTAACGCTAAGAAAATTGAAAAATGGTCTGGTCACTAAGGGGTTAAATAATGCTATAAGCGATATATTAATATACTGTTTTATTCTTTAATTTGATGTACACACACACACACATATATATATATATATATATATATATATATATATATATATATATATATATATATATATATATATATATATATATATATATACATACACACACACACACACTTTTCTCCCAGTTTACCCATCCCATTTATATGTATTGTGTCTGTTACTATTGTTCACTGTTAATAATAATAATAATAATAATAATATATGGAAGGGAAAAAAAAAAAAAAACACCTCTAATAAAATATATTTGACAAGAATAAAACAGGGACATACATAAATCCTAAAAACTGTTAGTGGTCCATGAGGACTGGGTTGGAGAACACTGGTCTAAACAACGCTGGACATCCTCACACTATGCATTAGGACTTCCAGCGTCGCCGGAAGATCCTAATGCGAGTGCAGCCACGGCGACTGGGTACTACAACAAGCTGTAACGGTTATGAGTAACTAACAGGTTTTAGTACAGATAACGCCAAAACTGTGAACACCAACACTTTAAGTAGCAGGGTTAGGGGTGTACACTGTTCAAGTAACATCCTCAGATACTTGCATCATTCTAGTGGACCAACGTGAATTTCATAGACACCAGTGATTGTGCAAAAAAAAAGTCTGATAAGTGTCAGAATTTTACACTTGGATAACAGGCCACACCTAAGGCGATCATTCTAAAATGCTTACCTACATGTTTACATTTAAAGGAACACTCCATTGAAAAAAAAAAAATAAAAAATTATATATACTTTTTTTTTTTTTACAATTTAGCAGATATACTACCAAAGAATGCATGTTGTTTTTGAGGGTATGTGAAAAACACAGCCAATACCTCTCCTCTTTCACATGCACAGACTTTCTTTCTGTGCTGGAAAAAAACACCAATTCAAGACTTTACACATAGTGTTCCTTTAATATTAAAATGATATAAAATAGTAAATTACCTCCAACATATTCTTGTCTTACCAGAGAAAAGATAAAATGGTTACCCAATGCACAAATAAATGATCTAACCAGGAGGTGTATGAAAGATTGCTCTCCCCTGCAGGGGCTATGCGCCTTCATCCATGGGATCCTGATGAAAGTCCCATGGGTGGACTGAAACGTTATAGCCTAGATCCTATGTTTTAAACCTTGCTTAATAAAAGATTTTTTACTGAAGACCGTGCGTGCTGCCATCACTACCTTTTGCTGGATATTTAAAGCCCTTGGCTAAGCACCCGGCAAGTATATATATTTATACCTATAGCCTGAGTGCAGGGGGGGGGTGTGTTTAACAAAATTATAAATGCAACACTTGTTTTTGCCCTCATTTTTCATGAGCTGAACTCAAATATCTAAGGCTTTTTCTATGTACACAAAAGGCCGATTTCTCTCAAATATTGTTCACAAATCTAAATCTGTGTTACTGAGCACTTCTCCTTTGCAGAGATTCACCTCATGGACCTCCAACAGATTCTACCCATAGGTAAGCTTTGGCCGCGCATGCGTATTAGGACTCCCCATAACATCTGCGTGGGCGGAGCCTGTCCCAGCACTGAGCGACATCGGCACTGGATGAAGGTAAGTGGCTGAAAGGGTTTTAACCCCTTCAGCAACGCAGGAGGGGGGACACTCCAGGAGCCTGGAGGGGCAGGAAAACGGGTTTGTTTTCCTGGCAGCACTATAGGATGCCTTTAAAATTTTACCACTTGTAGTGCATTTGCAAAAAGGAAGTGTGCACCTAATCAGAATTGTTACATCTATCTTACCATTTTATTGTATTGTCTACAACTCACGAGTTTCTCAATAATTCTACAAAATTTTCTCTTGTAATGCATCAATTACCATAAATGAAATTATGGCAAATTTAACCCCTTAAAAGACCACTATAGTGCCAAGAAAAAAAAAAAAAAAACAACTAGTTTTCTTGGCTGTATAGGGTGTTTACATCCCCCCCCACCTTCGGGGTCCCACTCCCGCCGGGCTGAAGGGGGAGGAAGGTGTTAAATGCTTACCTTTCTCCAGCACTGAGCTACCTCGGCGCTGGGGACTCTCCTCCCTCTTCCGACGTCATCCGCCACATGCGCGGCAAGAGCCGCGTGCGCATTCAATCAGTCCATAGGAAAGCATTTCTCAATGCTTTCCTATGGACGTCAGCGTCTTCTCACTGTGATTTTCACAGTGGGAAGCGCCTAAGAGCGGCTGTCAATGAGACAGCCACTAGAGGCTGGATTAACCCTAAACATAGCTACAGGGTTAACCTTAGATGGACCTGGCACCCAGACCACTTCATTGAGCTGAAGTGGTCTGGGTGCCTATAGTGGTCCTTTAAGGACACAGGCAATTGTCCAAGTTCTGAACAAAAACCAAAACCGAGAATTAGCGCTACATGTCTCTTCAACCATATATTTACCTCTTTCAAATTAAATGCACCTACACTTATTATATATAATTTTGTTCAAGAAAGTAGAGGTTTTATTTCTCATGTAGTATTTATATATGAAACAATTTAATGTGAATACTATTTAATTTTTTTTTAAAAAAAGTTTGAGAAATTAAGAAATGTTCTGCATGACATTTTAAACTGTGAATGTCATAATATGGATAGCTTTTACTGAACGAAAAAACAAAAACGTTCACATTTGTATGCTATTATATCCCACAAGTACAACAATGTCCCAATGTACTGGTATCATGGTGTTTTGGAACATTATAGGGTCAAATAAAGAGCTTGCCTATTTCAGTTATTACACATTGGAATTTGCCAGATTGGTTTGCTGAGCCGATGTTGCCTTTGAGACCGTATGGCAGTCCAGGAATGTAAATTTCCCCTAGGACAGCATAAAATTTGCAAAAAAAAAAAAAAAGAACCTAGGGCAGAGGTAGGCAACCTTCGGCACTGCAGATGTTGTGGTCTACATCCCCTGTATATACACACACATAATGCTTGCAAAGCAACATGGGAGGTGCAGTCCAAAAGCCTGCCTATGCCTGGCCAAGTATTTAAATGGGGATGTCAGCAACAGTCACAAACCCAGACCAAAGCTAGAGTTCATATTTGTTTTTTGCATTTTTTCCACACAAAAACTCAGACATACATTTTACTGCTCTAAAAACACTGATATTTGTGTTCAGCTGTGTTTAATAAGTACAATAATATATAATTTAATTCTAAGAGTATATTTATATATTTTTTTTAATTAATTTTTTTAGTTATATATTGGGGGATCTGTCTGACAGCCCTGGCCAATCTTGTTATCCAGCTGAGCAGAGCAATGTGATTGCAGTGACTGATCGGCTGCAGGGGGACAGCCTTGGTTGTCAGCCAATCCCCCCCCCCACTATCAGATCCGGCAAGAAGGGTGTGTATTTCGGACGGAGGGCGGGCCCACTCGTTAGAGCATGCCCTAACAGCATTAAAGCCCTCCTTTTGTAGGAAGACATAGCACGCCCCAACCTCTGGAAAGGGTTAAAGACAAACATGTTGACCGCTGAGCGTCCCTTATATGCTACAAATTGCTAAACTTAAGTGGAATACGATATAGAAAGATACTCGCACCATTGTTTTTTTTCCATTAACAGTTATTGGTGTGCCTGGAGTGTCACATTTTCAAACCGACTTGCCATATGCCAAACTACTTATGCTTTTTGGAAAGACCATGCAATTTAATCTGGTAGTAATAGATTTGCTAGCAAATATATAGAGTTGTATAAAAACCCCATTTAAAAATAGGTCTTTCTCCTACTTCTCAGTCAAATACTCTACGCTTACGATTTGACTGACAAAGGAGAGTAGACAAATGCTCCCAAGCATAGCACCCATAGCACATGGGCAGTGGTTGCTATGGAAACTCCCTAGCATCTAGCGCTGCTTAGGGGGTATAGTAAAGCCAACGTATCAGTGTCATTGAGGAGGTTCGCCCTGCTTAGGGAAGCGTTCACAAGCAGGGCAAATTAAATTAGAGTAGAGGATTGGGAGGGGGTGGGGTGGTGGTGTGTGTGTGTGTGTGTGTGTGAGATATATTTTAAAAATGAAAATCCAGTGCACGCCCTTATCTACTAAACAGCTACGTTGGTGCTGACAGATTTTGCTAGTTTTATTAAAAACACCTAATCTAGGCAAAAAATATGTTTTGCCTAGATTAGGTGTTTTTAATAAAATAGCAAAATCTGTCAGCACCAAAGTACCGCACTGGATTTTCATTTTTACTGTACTTATTGGCCCCCGGCAGCACCCCATTTAAGCATGTTCAGGTGAGTGCAGCCAGCCGTGCGTGTGTGTGTGCGCGCGTGTGTGTGTGTAATATATATATTTATATTCTAAAAAATGGTGCAAACATGGAAAATGGGCCAAGTGACCAATGCTGTGCTCGTGCTGGTTCAACAGTGACTGCCCTTGCCTTTAGTGCTCTGTACCACTTTTTATTCATAACCCCATCCCCCTCTAATGTTAAAGGCAGTTTCGCAAACGCTATAATTTCCTAGCAGAGGTTTCTATAAGTTGTAGTTTACTTACCACCAATCCCAAAGATGAATTGAACAGAAACAAAGATTTTTTATTTATAATATATAAATTAAACAAATAGCTTAGCATCGACATTTCAGTCCCCGTTCAAGACTTTCCTCAGGACCGCGACCTTTTTTGTATTATCCTGAGAAATGTCCTGAATGGGGACTGAAACGTTAAACGCAACTTTTAATTATTTCTTCAATAAAGCATGGAGTTTTACCTTAAAGACTGCAAGTGCTAAGCTATCTGTTTACCTACTGGATACTGGAGCCTTGGCTGATAGCACCCAGCAATATAACAAAATTGAGCCAGAGTGCAATGAACTCTAAAGGCTTTGTGTATGTGTGTGTGCGCGTGTGAACAGCAGCTGCACTATGGTAGTTTTCAGTTGTATTGACAATTTTGTAAGAAAGCCTTGAAGTAGTCTCTCAAGAGAAGTGGAGACTTGTATAGTATTCATCCAAGTATATTGCTGGGCAGAAGTGAAAGCTAATTTTTCTCCTGTGATGTCTGCCACTGAGAGATTAGGTTATAGCCGTTTGAATTTTTCCAAAGCAAATCAAATATACATAATTGCATTCAAGGAGGCATTAAAGGAATGCACCAAGCACTGCAACATGTTCTTAGCATATGTTATTGTGACAAAGTATTTTAAGTGACTACCTTGTATTGATTTTTATGTTTAGCATTATCTGGATAGAAGTACTACTCCACAACTATGTACACAACCCAATTGTACATATTGTCAGTAAGTTGTAACATTTAACAAATGTCAATAAATAATATTCTTTCCCAGTGCTCACATTAGGGGGAAACATCTCTTTCTGTATCCAAGCATCTCTTATTTTCTAGGAGCTAACGTGGTTTAGTGTGTATAAAACATCCTACAAAATTCAAGTTATATCAGAGAAGAGGAACAGATGAATACAAGTAAAGGGGAGGACTGGCTCTGTTATAGTATGAACTTTGAAAGCATGTTACATGATAATTATTACATCCCTAATTACTGCTTTAAAATAATCAGAGGTAAGTAACTTATTGAACTCTGTGACTCATATCACAGAGTGATTCATGTATTCTCCTGGAAGAGTGATCCAGATCAGGCTTGACCCATGAAGTAGACTATGCAGACATTGGAATGTCATGTCTACAGAGCGCAACTGTCTCAGAAGATCATTTTCCAACTATACATGGGCTTTAAGCATCAAATAAATCAAACCATATAACATTAAACGAAATGACAAGATCAAGTTACAGTCGTATGTGCAACTGACTGTACAGATAAAAAAAAAAAAAAAATGAAACTCACAGCAGCCAGCTCAAACTTATCATGTAATGACAAAGCTATGACAATAAGGAAATAGATTACATTTGGCCATGGTAGCTCATCACATGAAGGTGGCTCTGGAGAGGAGGTTACACTACAGTGTAAAAATAAACTAGATACAAAATTACTTCAGTTATGTTTAGTGTAAAAAAAAAAAAAAAATAGGGCAATTTAGTCTAACACTGTTTAACAAACTTTAATGGTTTGTCAAAGTACAAATACCTGGGAAACAAAGCAAGTAAGAATTTTTTTTTTTTTTTTTTTAATGATGTAAGAACAGTGTGTGCCAAAAGACAAAAACATAATAATTACACCCCAACAGGATAAGAGATTACTTCTGAGTCTGACAGTGCTTGTCTCCTCCTAGACAAATCAAGAATTGTGTGGGAAGATGTGATCTTCTATGACAATTAAGAAGAGTAACAGACACTGACTGGCTGCCTAGTAGTTGATCTTAGTTCTCCAATATCACTAGCTGCAACAATATACACACACACACACACACACATTATCACGGAACAGAAAACTATACATTTTCAATCTACGTATACAGCCAATGCAAAATCTGCAATAGTTAGCACAGCTAAATCAGATTGCAAATGGGTGACACAGTTTATTCTGATCCTCTGTACTTCCTTTATTTCTCATATGTAAAGTCTGCCATGATATATGGTTAATTTGATATCTACACCAGATTGCACACATGGTTAAAGTAGATGGTCAACACAGATGTAAACCATGGGCTGTGCCCTCTAGTTCAAGACATACAACATCTGGGCAGCAAAGATAAGTGAAACAGGGATAAGCTTGTACAAGATACATCCAAGTGGATAGTAGTTTTTGCAATGTAGTGCTATACAATTGCCACAAAAATGTCTTTAGAAGAAAAAAGGGGGAGCATGAAAACTCCTCAATTACTCAACCAATAAAGGCTGGTGTACAGTACAGTACTGGAGGAGGGTACTGCCACAGGGTGCCATGGTAAGGACACATGTTACACACAGCATAGCAGGCCTGGGTATGGGTAACAGGGAGTCCCCCCTGAGAGACAGGGCCTGGGAGGATATCCAGGTAGCCCACATGTTTCCTTCCCTCCATGGCAGTGTCAGCATGCTATGTGGGGGCCCAGGCTGGCCATTGCCGGTGTATGGCAGGCCTGTGTATTGAGGGCTGGGGAGGGGGATGCAGCAATAACACAGAGGGCCAGGTAACACAGAGGGCCAGGGAGGGGCCCCAGACAGAGCACCCAGTGTGCAGCCAGTGTCCTCACAGTTTGGGGGGAGATAGAGGCTCACTCTCAGTTAGAACTACAACTCCCACAAGGCGCTACCAGCTCGGCGGCTGACAAAGCATGATGGATGTTGTAGTTCCCCAGCGCCCGGTTCCCCCCCCCGGCCTGGCCGCCTCACACGGGGGCGAGTCTCACCTCATCCTCCCGCTCGTTCCTGAAGCACAGGCAGGCCGCTCGCTTCTTGAATCCCTCCCGGTCGTAAGTCCGAGTCTGGTTCGGCTTGAACTTCATCATAGAGGCGGCGGCTGCTCCTCCTCCTCCCTCCGTCCGTCCGTGCCGGCCGCTGCAGTCACCGTGACACCCGAACACAGGCAGCCGCCACCGGCCGAGCTCGCAGCACCGCGGCCGCAGGAGGAGAGCCGGGCCCGGGGTTAGAGGAGGGTGTGTGAGCCGGGGGAGACTCGCCTCTCCATGGACCCGTGCCGACTCCGGTATGCCCTGTGTCCGTGCTGCCGCTCTCACAGACCGGACTCCCCCCCTTCTCCTCCCGTGACTGGTATCTCCCGCCCCTGCGCGCGCACCCCCCTCCTCCTTCACTGCAACGGCCGCCCTATGGCGCTGGGCGAGAGGGGGGGGAATCACCTCTTCCCCTCACATACACTCAGACACACACCGCGCGCGCACACACACACGCTCTACTACCGCGCGCCGCCTGACCTGGCCGCTCGGGAATGACGCGCGTGCGCACAGTGCCCTCCTCCTCTTCTTTCACCAACACCTCTCTTACATTCGACGGCGGCGGCGCGCATTCCTCCACCAGGACAGACAGAAAAGAAGCGAAGAAAGAGGGGGGGGTGCGCGCGCGCGTGGCCAGGTAACGCGCGTTCCACACGTCAGGCTGAGGCGAGCGCGATGGGGGGGACGCAGTGCGTGCGTGCGTGCTATCCCCCTCACGCACGGCTCGGATGTTTCCACATAGTAGTGCGTTACCGGGGCAACCAGAGGCGCTCAGTCTGCTCATTGATAGCTAGGGCGACAGCTGAGTGATAGCACGGGCCAGACCGGGGTACCGGGGGGGGGGGAATCCGGCATGCCAGGGGTTAATCATGGTTACTGATGGCCTCTGGGAGTGGTTCACCATCTTCCCTTTGTTAGCAGTGTAGGAGGATGGGCTGGCTGAAGCACATGGCCGCTCTCACTGTGATACTCCATTATTGTCACACTATCAGCCACTGGCTACTGTCATGGCTGGCAGTGATGGTGGTGGATGGATGCATTGGGTTCCTAGACAGACACACGGCGATCGAGGATGATGGGAATTGCTGTGTGATTTTTAATTTGGCCATTTAACAAAACAATGCAATAAATGAAAAAAATTTTTTTTAAAAAAATTAGTTGTCTGTTATCTTTAAATTAAGCTTCTACCTAAACCTGTGGCACAGAGTAGGGGTAGGCATCCTTCAGCACTCCAGATGTGGGCTACATCTCCCATAATTCTCATACAACCAAAATGTTGACAGGATCATGGGAGATGTAGTCCACAACATCTGGAATGCGGAAGGTTGCCTACCCCTCTCACAGAGTATAGTGCTGTACCCAGAGCTTTACGTGCTGGGCATTATAAACAGCGCCGCATTGGCATTGTGGGTTTTTTATAACATTGGTTTTGCTATAATAACAGCTACTGCTAATGTTGATATTTAAAGGCCATTTTTAGTCATTTTTTTAATAATTGTGCCAGTGAGCTGCAGTGGTCTAGGTGCCTATAGTGTCTCTTTAAATACAGTCACAGCTGCATACTCAGATACACATGAATACACATATGGATAGGGAATTCAACACTTTAACCTTAGGAATGATTAATATTATTCATCCTCCACTAAGTCATCAGCATCCTCACCTGTGTCTGTCTACTCTTCCCCACCACTCCACAAGGACACGGAAAGTGCTTGGCCCGTGCACATGTACCCCACATGCATTGCTTGCCTGGTGAGCCTCACACGCTCAATGCAGACAAAAAGAGGAGCTAGTTCCCAAATTCCAATAAGCCTCTGCGATGTAATGCACCTCTGTGGCACATTTGGCAATAAGGTTGGCACAACAGCCCACTGCAACCTCTTACATATGATCATTAAATAGTGCTGCAGTCAGTGCTACACTTGTCCCGACTGCTACTCTGTGGCCACAGCATTATGGCAAATCCGGGCCTGGTCATATAGTGATCTTTCATTTTGCCTATATCACTCTATAAAGCATTTAACCTGATCATGCGTGCTTCCTCAGATTAATTAAAAACAAATAACTAACAATGTCAGTTAAAAAATAATGTCTGTCAACAAAAATATTAATTGTTTTTTTGGTTGTCAATGCAGAAATGATTTCGACTTGATAAAGGGAGGTTTTCCCAAAAGCTTGTCATTCCAAAATGTTGTTATTCCAATAAAGAGGAATTACCAGGTTCCGTGTTTCCGGTGTGTCGCTGTTACCTGGAGCTGACCGGTACTTGCAGTTGCCTTTTTAATGCTGCTGCAAGATGTAAGAGGTGCCAGGAGCGAGCAGCCAGTTGCTCCTTGTAATGCACAGAGCTAAGGCTGCTGGGATACATGATGTCAAATCCGCAGCCTAAGCTCTGTGAATAACTGTGATGATGGTTCAGGCTACATTACCCACCAAAGAACCATGGCGTGTACTGCTAAGGGCAGTGTGTATCAGTAAGGATGTGTGTCAGTCACTCAGAGTGAGTGTGTGTGACAGTAAATGTGTTCATGCCTGTGTGTATTAGTATATGTGTGTTTTATTTATCAGTCTGTGTTTCAATAAATAAAACTAGTATATATAACGGTATATTAACATATGTGTAATATATTAACATATATGTGTGTGTCTATTGTGAGCATATATTGAGATAGGTTTAAAATATATACACAAAATAATATTTAGGTTTATAATATATACACACATATTAGGATAATCCAGAACAATGAGTAAGCGCTGAATAACAGAAATTTAGCAGCAACCCTATAAGGGAATCCCTCAAAAACCCTTAGAATAAAACACAAAGAATACAAGGAAAGGGCTGCGCTTAAAAAGTACTTAAAAGGTATTAAAAGTCCAGATAAAATTGATGAAAAAAAGGAAGAGGATCTTATCTGGCAATGTCCGTAGTATTTAGTCCGGAGCAGTAATCTTGATTTCTATCTTCCTTATGGGCCGTCTCGTATGTAAGAAATGAAAACAAATACAGAACCCAAATGGTGTAGTATATCTTAGTAAAACGGAAATTAAAATATAAGACTTGAATGCAAGCTCACATTTCCAAGAGCTAGAACCTGCTCTGGTATAAAGGGCGTACAGCGGTTTAGATCCCCGCTTATGGGATATGGAATGCTTATCCTTCACGTGCCTCGTCCTTCCGTAGTGTGGGAGATACTCAAATAAAAAGAGACAACTAATAATGCTCTCTGTATAAAACTGAAGATAAAATATAAAATAAAAGTGGATACTCACAAGACAGGAGCAGGTCAACTGCTCCTGATATGTCGCGCTGGTGGAATAATCCCCACCTAGGATTGCTTGGAGTCCAACAAATAGTGCCAGGTGATAGTAATAAATATATGTGTATAAAAAGATAAGTGGTACAATAAAAAGTTACCAAATATACTTTAATTATAACATTACACAATATAAAAAAAACATAAACGCGTTTCGCCAATAGGCGTTATCAATATGGGTAAATGTCTTTACCCATATTGATAACGCCTATTGGCGAAACGCGTTTATGGTTTTTTTATATTGTGTAATGTTATAATTGCCAGATAAGATTCTCTTCCTTTTTTTCATCAATTTTATCTGGACTTTTAATACCTTTTAAGTACTTTTTAAGCGCAGCCCTTTCCTTGTATTCTTTATATTAGGATAATCACATACATTTGGAGAACACCACACCAACGTTAAAAGCCAATATTTGGTTTCAACGTTTGGGATATTCGTTAACCCCAGTAGGTGCCTGTTGTCCCCGTCTGCTGCTCCTCTCATCCCCTTGGAGACTGTCATTGACAACAGCCCTTCCTTTCCTGTTAACATTGATTCATGCTCTGCATTTACCACAAATGCACCAAGAGAGGAGAGGGGGGAGTGGAAGGTTTAAAGAGAGACGCAGGCAGTCACAATTTTAGGGGGGCAACAAAATGCATTTTCACCTAAGTAGCCAAAAATCCTTGCACCAGCCCTGCCTGCAATGTAAACATTGCACATTCTAAAAAAAAGTCAGTATTTTTCATTGCAGGGTTAAAAGGACAGGGTCACTGCACCCAGACCACTTCATCTCAGTGAAGTGGTCTGGGTGACTTTATTGTCCCTTTAACTTTGTCTACTCATGTAAACTGAGCAGAGACCTTGGCAATTTCAGTACCGTTTATTTAACATTTACGTACAATAGGACTTGATTAAAGAAGATGGTTTCCCTTTAGATTACATAGAAATCAGGGCAGTAAACAAATGCCGTCTTCTCTCTTTTCAGTACACACTTGTAATTTCAGATATACAATAACATAAAGACATTTGAAGAATTGTAAAAGCTAAACTTACCTAACCCAAACATATTCCTTTATATATTTTTTTTAAACATAGGTGCCCTAAGTAATAGCAGCCCTAAACATAGGTGCCCTAAGTAATTCATTTGCAAGATTTACAATATAAATGCGCTATGTTCTCATGTTCTCTTTTAGGAGATGAGAAACGTAAAACTTATCTTGATTCTTTTTTTAATTTAATTATTTTTATTTTTTTTTCATTAAAAACAGTCATGATGCATTTGTTACAATTGAGAGAGTAGGCAGTAATTTGTGCACAAAAGAGTTATGCATCTGCTGCGAAATATGGTGCTAATATTTCTAAAAAAAAATAATGTGATAATTATCTGATGTATTGCCAATTTTTTCATGGAATAAGGATTTTTTTGAAATCACTAGATAGAATAAACAGGGTCACACTTTTAAAATCTAAGTGCAATAAATCTTAATCATTATTATTTTTTTAAGACAATTGCGTCCCTTTCTACTGTTAATTCTTATTTTGGTCCACATTTGTTAATTCTTTCTCATGGGATAAGGCTCAATGTCAAAACAGAATTATTACACAAACAGAATTATTACACAAAAGCCTCAAAAACATTTAAAGAATGTCATCCAAATTACAACTAAAACATTATTAAAACATTTATGCTTTGTTGATATCCGAGTATTCTTTAGTGCGGGGTCCTCATCAACCTATTGTTCCTGTAAAAATTTTTAATAGTTTGTCTCATTTGTTGTTAATATTGTAAAGTGCTGCTGAATCTGTTGGCTCTCTATAAATGGCAGTAATAATAATAGAAATAATAAAAGTAATTATTTGGTGAGCCAATATAATAAATTGTTAATTTTGCGTGCAACAAAAACGTACTTAAATTAACTTTAGTTTCTTAATATCTATGCAGCAAAGTATGCCTTCCTCATTTTAATAGGAGAAATTCTGAGTATTATGCATGAGTTTTGCGTTACTGCATTGATCTAATTGCAGAATATATTACTGTATCATAATTATTTACATATATATGACCTTCAAAATATGACCTCCTATTACTGATCATGTTACAAGGTACAAACTAAATGAACTACAAAATAGAGAAGTAAAATATCTAGTAAGATATGTATGCAATAGGTAAGATACATATTTTAGACCTCGCACTTGTATAAGAAACAGTCCAATTATTTGATCAGATTTTCTGTAGTCTTGACATTTATCTGCCCATATCAGAAACCAGACACTTCAGAGTATTACCATAATATCAGTTAATCTGTCATTGAAGTTGTCTTCACTCTCATGATAGAAAAGGTATTTTACAAACTTGGATACAAACTTGTCCGTGCCGCTCTTCTCTTGCATTTACAATGTTAAGCATTAGTAGCAATGGCTTAATAAATGGTAAGTTGGTAGGTAGGGGTGCAGTAGACAAAAAAGGTAATAACCATTAAAGCAGATTTTCTCCAAATTAAAGGAACACTATAGGGTCAGGAACACAAACATGTATTCTCGACCTTATAGTGTTTAATCCACTATTTAGGTGGCTTGCGCCCCCTTTGTCCCCTTAGAAAAGGTAAAAACTTACCTTATATCCACCGCAGCACGGGTCCGCCGATGCTGGTCCCGACCTGCCTCCTTGGTGACATCATCAGAATTTAACATTTTTAGCCAATCTAGTGCTTTCCCATTGGAAAGCATTGGATTGGTTGAAAGCGGCAAGGACCAAATGCAATTTTAGCCAATCCGCACCTCCTCCTAGAGATGCATTGAATCAATGCAT